TTGCCACGCAAAGAAAAGAGATTCTGCTAAGCGCTCCAACTACTCCAACTGTGTGTTCAGTTCAAGGCGGGTACTCGCAGTACACATAAAAACTGGGGCTTAAATTGCCTGTTTTGCCATTAAATATGCACTGTAACCTACTTTCCCTCCAACTACACTCTCACCCATAATCATGAAAGTTACTCATGTCTGTTAGAAGTAGCTCCACTATGCAGGCGGTGCTTGAGCGTGCGGTGAAACCTCAGGGAAACGAGAGAGGGGGTTGGAAAGCAGCCATTCTTTGTCACATCGCCCGATCGTAACATCCCGAGGCAACAGCCACAAGGGGCACCACACAGCGGCATTTCACTAGAGCCCAAATGTTTTGGCAAAGCGGTAAAACACCAGTGAGGAAGAGGGGGAAAATATGTGTATTAGTGAGAGGAAAGAAGTATCGGATGGAGAAGACGAGAGTTATGAGAACGCAGCAGCTGATGTCATGTGAAATACGACGGCTTGGAAACACTGAGGTCATTCCCCGTCTCCCTTTGCCAAAGTCTTGAACACTTGGCTTCACGTTAGTGCTCTACATTTGCTGTACAGTCCAAACTTTGGCAGGCTGCTCCATTTTCTTTTTTTCTTAGGTTCATGTAGGACACTGCAGGAATCTCCAGTTTCCAGCAGTGACCTACAACGCAGCGAGAACACAGCCGTGCATGCCTTTTGCAGAAGCCGATTGACACATTTTTGCGCGAGAATCCCTTGACAGTCACTCAAACCTGCAGGCTTAATCTCACAAAATAGCGCTGTGTGCTTGTGTGGCTGCCTTTTGCCAAATCTCATTGACTAATACCCTGGCAGCTCTGCGAGGGAGCCCGAGCCTCCATTGAAAGAGTCTCTGGTTAAGTTAGTGGCTGAGTAGCTTGCTAATCTCTCTCTGCTCTGCTGATCTTCACTCTCTAGTAAATCCTGATTATTTCAGCCCACGTGCCACAAGGGGCAACTCTTCTCTGTGACTGAATCTAGATCTGCCCCGAGTTTGGCACCATGACCTGCTTTTAAGGCGATGGGGAGGGCATATCAGGGGTCAGTCAGCTTGACCCCTCACCCCTAACTGCTGTTGCTGATCCTCCTCTTGAGAGACTTACGAACGAAACTGTTTAAATGAGATGTGACATTTCTTTCCTATCAGCTGTGATCAAGCAATGATGAGCTTTGATCAAGCAATGATGAGCTTTGAGAGTTGATTTCTTCTGCAGTGAAATTAAATCAGTGCACACAAAGGACCATTCTCCTTCAACACAAGAGGATAAGGTCCTTAGTAGACTAATACAAGAGGCATTTGATCGTGTAACTGTATGTGTGTGTTACTTTACCCATAAACCCCACTGGCAGCTTGCCAGCCAATGGGACCTCCATCAGATCCCACTGGCCATCGTGGGAACATTCCTGACGCTGCGTTATTCCATAATTCCCACCATGTGTGGTTTTTCCAGAGGAGAGTGCTGGCCTGTACGGACCGTGGAGAATCCCAGTGAGGAGAGCAGATCAGCTCCTTGTAATCGCAACCAGACATCACTGTGTGAGAGAGGGGAACGCAGAGCACCCACATGGGCAGTTGTGTTCATATTAATCATTGATGAGCCACTGAAACTGAATAAAACAGCGGTCTTTTGAGGAACACAGCCCAAAAACGTATCCGATATTCAAGTGGTTTTGTATTGAACTACTGTACTGAGGTTAGGAAGTCAACAATGTCAACTTTAAGAGTGGCACTTGCATTGGTATAAAGCAATAGGCTGATCAATACTAATGCACCTTCCCATCAATCAGCCCACTGACGGCTTCCCTCAGGAACCTCAGGGTCACTGCTGAGTCCTTATCTTGTTCTGAGAGCACATTTAGGATGCTGTTGGCCTTCTCTGATCAATACATCTCCCAAGGTCCTGCCATTGTTACCCAGATCAGTAGGGACTTAGGGAGTATATCTACTTTGTGTTGTGAATGATAGAACACCAGATTAAAGCACTTCAATGTCTTGTAATTCATCACATTTCCAGGTGCTCATACTTCCCTCTAACGGTTTATAGAATGTTTTGAGTTTTATCATATAAAAATGTAATAATGTACACTGCTGTGTCATCCTGAATAACGAAGACGCTGTGTAGTGTATCGTTTTCTGCCGTTCTCAGTTTAGGACAAGTCTGTTAAGTGTTAATATAAAACCATCACTATAGTACTTTATTACCAAATTCTCATCAGAGGAAGTACTTCTCCCAGTTTGATTAGTAGCAGACACACAGTCCCCACACACTGTCCACTGTTTATTACTCATTTGCTGTACTTCCCCCACTACAGTCCTGTCTTTCTTTTCCTGCTGTGACATCATCATCACCTCAGCTCGCCCACGGCCCTGCCCTCCTTCCACTTCCTGCCACGACAGGAAATGAGCTGCCCAGAAGGATTTCTGGTAATGGGGGAAGTGAGGGTGGACAAGGACACACCTGTGTCCACTACATAGGGCTCTGTGTTTCCCCCTGGTCTGTTGTCGAAGTGCGGCACCAAGCTAGGCCACATAAAAAGTCTCCTGAAACTAGCTGTTGTGAGTGGCACCCTTTTTGGCAGTGCATGGAAGGGGTTGTTTTCAGGGCTTCATGCTATATAAAGATGCATGCACTTGCTCCAACATCACTACTCTGGTTTTAGAGTTTGAAAGAGAGCATGTAAAATAGGAAAGTCAAATGTTCACGGTTTACTATTCCTGCTCCCACCTATGTGATGTCAAGCGTGACACTCCAGGAAAAATAACATAAAAGCCTACTTGTTTACTGGCAACAGGAAAGGAGTCTTATGGCGCGTTTCCACTACACGGCCTCGCTCGGCCCCGCTCGGTATGGCTGGGCCTCGTTAGGACTGGCTCACTTTATGGCGCATTTCCATTACAGTTTAGGAACTGGGGCAGTATCTATAGTAACGCAGTGTAGGCGGAGCCGTGACGTGATCTTCAGAGGACCCCAGAAAAACAACACAGCCGTTAGCTGTTAGCACTCAGAGCTCACAGCTCCTCATATATGTTCAGAAACTAGACAACAGTTAAACAAGTACAAACCACAGACTGCCTGTGTCATGGTGAATCCAGTCGCTGCTTTATTTATGTCTGTATAGGCCGTTGTTGTGAGTGTGGACGGTCGGAGCATATACTGCGTTAGCTTAGCCAATCTCCATTTAGAAAACAAGCATTTTAAAAGGTTTTTCGCCTGCCGTCTGTCTGCAGACTTGACAAAGCATTAATTCATGGTTTTTACTAACCGGTATCAGTATGTTGTTACTTCGGCATCATTTTGAAACGTGTATTACAATTAAATCACGGTCAAATATGTCCATCTTGTTGTAGTTGTAGCCCCCTTGCCAGAGATGCTCTCTCTAGTTTAGCATACTCAGCCCGACTCAGCCTCGTTGTCTCTGGCCCTAGACCCGCGATTTTATGAGGCCAGAAAAACTGTGAATTAGGACCCGCCGGCCGGTACTAGGCCAAGTGGAAACGCAACCAAAGACGGGCCGCTGACGTCACAGCCCTCTTAAACCGTGCTCCGCGTTGTAGTGGAAACGCGCCATAATGCCTATTTCAGCTGGTTTTCGCTTACTGAGAAATCCTGAAAAAGGGTGCTAATTTGGTGGAAAAGGGGTATTTGATGCTATTTTGAAGTCGCAAACATTTGCCAGTTTTATTACAGATCTTTTAGGAGGAAATTGTTTTGTCATGTCTGGAATTGTTTGATTTAAGTTCTTTTTGTCCTCTCCATTTTGTGCAGCCCTTGCTTTTTGATCACATGCAGTTAATGTTTGTCTGTGGCCGGCCTTTGTCTCCAGCAGCGGAGCAGCTGCCTGCGGCTCCGTGCTGTTGTGACTGGAGCAACTGTGTTCTGCAGCTGCACAGACCCATGTGTCACGGCCACACCTGTTCAATGGCCTTGTGTTGACTGAGTGATATCACACATTAACTGTGTGTGCATTTAATGCCAGAGAGAGATGGAGGGGGCTGACCTGTAACCTGAGAAGGCAATTGTGTGTTTTTGACACGCATATATGGATGACGTGCACGAGCAAAGACATGCACACCGACTCTTTCTGACGCTCTCTCCTTGTAACAAGTCCAAAAAAACAGACACACTTTTTCCAGCGAAGGGCCACATGCTGTTGAACAGTTGTTGTGTAGAAAAAGAACAGCTGAAGCCAGCAGGAATAGCTTCCTAGTCGGCAGCCACAACATCAGCTGCCTACCTCTCTCTCACACACACACACACACACACACACACACTAAATACACACCATGATATTTCCTCGCAAATCAGCACATTATAACCTCCAGTCAACAGGTTGTGTGCCTGAATGATATCCTATTACCAGACTATGACTCAGCATCCAGATTGTTTTGGATAAAAAAAAAGGTTACGCTGGTGTGACTCAGCACTGATGAGTTGATGATTCGTTAAGGTCCGCAGACTAACTGAGTCACAGTCAACACACAAATAAGAGTTTTGACAAGGTTTCTACTCTGACTCATGGAGTGAAATGAGTAGCCTGCCGGTGTTAGCAAGCTTTTTTAAGTCGCCTGCGTGTGTGGCTCTGAAAAGAAAGGCTTTGTAGTCAAATGAAGAAGTCCTCGTCAGCTCAAATGTCACACTCTTAATCTGGCAGTAATAATGAAGCCCGATCATAATGAAGGCAGCACTGGGCTTGATTGCTTTCTGGCTGTGCGTGTAATTTTTGTCTGCAGTTAGTTAAGTCTCTCGCTCACGCACACTCCACAGTTAATCCTCTGCATTCTTGTGACAGTGAAATCGGTCTGCCTTCCTCGAGTTGCCGGCTGCCAGGTCTCTGAATCCTCCTGCAGAGAACAAACGCTATCAGATTTGACTGACCAATAGATGCTGTAATGCAGGGATTGTGTTTGCCTACTATAGTCCTAAAAATAGACTCATATCTAATAGATTTTATTCTTCCCTCTTTTTCATTCTCAGAGGAGAACAGCCCTGTCGTGGAGTGGAGTGGCGGTTTGGGTCTGAACTTTAACCCCAGTAGGAAGGAGAGAAAGCCACTTCAGAGGTAAGAGTTCCTGTAAACTTAAGTGAGTAAATGCTGCCAGTGCTACTTTCTGTGGGTAATAAACTCTAAGCAGAGGGAAACTGTATTGACGTCGCTGCCAGTAAGCTTTGCCAAGCTCATGCACAAATGCCACAGAGGCTGTTATTCTGACAAGCTGCTGCTGCTGCTGCTGTCGCAAGTTAGATTTAAGGTGGTCTGAAACTCTGTGTTTTCTCTCCTGTGACATGCATGACTGATGTGTCAAATCTGTCATGTCGCTGCTTCACATTAGAGAGTGGAATCCCCGCTTGACAGTACGGATACATGTGTTTGTTGTTTGTTGTAGGGAAAGATAAATCCAGACGTGGTGTAGAAAGGGAGGCTTCTCTGCCCCCTTCAAAGCCTCAGTCAGAGGGCCTTGTAAATCAAAGCTAAATGAAAGAGGACTCAAGCCTCTGAGGAACTTGTCAGGGGAGAGTCCTCCTCGCCGAAAGGAGATAATTCCCGACTAAAGTAGAACCATGTGAGGGCGAGCTGTGCTGCGGTGTGTAGCAAAGAGCTGCTCCTCACACAGAGCCTTTAGTCTCTCACTATCGCTGATCTGCACTGAGTTTCAGTCTCACTCTTTCCACTCGTATCTTCAAGGACCAGCCAGCAAGTCATTTACTAGAGCGCCTTGGCTCTGGGTTTGATAGAAAACGCACACGCGATATGAACACACACATCAGCACAGATCCTTTTCTTTTTGTTAATAAGGGAGGGGGTGCGCAATTAAAAAGGGAGTTATGGGTTACACAAGCGGCCCTCTGCAGAACAACAGAGCACACGAGACCCACGGCAGAAGCAGAACACATCAAATGACTCTCTAGGTGCTATTTCATTTGTTGATTTGTTGTGCTTCTGATTATTATTAATATAGCATATTTCCTTTGCCAATTTGGAAATGCATGCCTGGACAGAGTGCTTTAAAATATCTAGAAGCAACGAACAGAAAGGATGTGAACGGACAAAGACCCAGACATATATTATTATCTTCTTGGGGGGGGGGTTTGCTGTGATGTTTACAAAGCTTAGACGAAGATGTGGAAAGGAAGCCAGGTTTTTAACTGGGACCCCAGCAGCGGTGATGGAGCCCGCGGCGGAGTGGAGGAAGTCGCTCCCCTGCATTTAAACTGTTCCAGGAAGTGGGGATGCTCGTCTGTCAGGAGGTTTATGGCTGTGTGTCAGTGTCATGTGGAGACGCTTAGCAACTCTGACACAGCCCTGTCAATATAATTCAACTTGTACATGCGGGTCCGTGGTTATCTGTCATTGTTCTGTCGTGTACAGTAGTTCTCATGGCAACTGTTTAATTCATGCACTGGGCTTTCTTCAAGAGACTCTCCTTGAAACCATCTCCCCCACGGTTTCATGAAGACATACAACCACAGAGACATTCGGGACATAACAACAACTTGTGTGAAAGTGTGTGTGTGTGCATTTCAAAATGGAAAGGATGGAAACATTGGAACGAAAAAGGAATGCTAGAAACTGTGCGGCAGGAAGCACACTGCCACATTTTTGTTTGCGTCTGATTGATAAGATACTTTTGAATCAACATGACAAGTCACTCGGCCAATCAGGCACATCTTGCAGGGGGTAAATGGAGGAAGACATTCGCAGCTGCTGGTGGCATGTGTGCAGACCCTCTCTGATTGCACATGGCTGGCTGGTTGCATGCAGTATGTCCGCACGGGTTATGCGTGTGTGTGTGTGTGTGTGTGTTTGGGCATGTGTTGCTTGCGCAGTATGCTACTGTGCTTTGTATTCCCTAACAGGTGGCCGATGCAAACCCCCTGTTTCGCTAGACCAGGCAACCAGAGGATGATAGAAAAATAAATGTTGGCACGATAATGATTGTATTTATCTATAGTAGAGGAGAGGCAAATCAATAGGACATACTGCTGGGAAAAAATGTGATATAATAATAAATAATTCACGGTTGTATTGTCCCTGCTGGTTTTCCATTATACTTTCATGCTTTGACATATTATAAAGCAGCTATTCTTATTTGACTGATACCGAATAATTCACTGTTTGTTTGGCTTCTACACACTTTTTTTTTATCCAGTGTCCTAGATACAACCACAACGTATTTATCTAAATAAGTTACAGCAGGGTTTTAATGTTCTGAGGCCATTAGTTGAGGATTTACTTCACAGCATTGCAGCTCTTTCTACTTCCATGCTCTCCCAGTGCAGTGAGTCGGCTCTCTGCTTTAATGTCTGCTGCTGCAGTGCTGCATCATGTTTAAAACTGTGTGTGTGCACTGCAGCAGACCACCTGAGCCCCTGTATGTGTGTGTGTGTGTACCTACATGTGTGGATGTAACCCAATCTCACAAAAGGTAGGACAAGACTATTGATTTCCCAATTGGACTTCTGCCCTGAAGGAAAGCAGGGAAGCTGACACATCCTCGCTGTGTTTGTGTGCAGAAACAAGAGAGACTGAATGACTTTCAGAAATAAGACGAGAACAGGAACTTGCCACCTTTTTGTGCCGCTTGATTTATACGCTCCTACGTGTGCTAAGAATACACTTGAATATATGTGCTTGAAGATGATTGAAATGTGGATTACATAGGATGCACACAAAGAGGTGACACATTTGAAACATGAAGCTTTGTTATGTTTCCTTTTCATTTGTCTGACTAAAATGATATTGTTGGGTTGTTTATAGCACAGTAACATCTAATTTAATTCAGTAAAGAAGTTAAATTAGTGTTCTGTTTGCAATGATGTAAGTTACCTCAGCTGTGAGGTGCTGGAAAAGCTTTAAGGGGAACGATTACGCTCATTGTCAGGTTTCATAATTGTATTTTGCGCTTGTGATGTTAAAAAATTCGGCCATTTTACTCAGCAAAGAGTGCCTCTTTTCCTATCACACCATACCGTGTCGTCTGACTGCGCTGTAGTTATATGAAAGAGCAGGGATGTGGACACATTAAATCAATATTCAAGTTATTACTGAGAGTCTAAGCCACACTGAAGCTTTGTGATAGCTGCTTGTCCGTCTGCAGTCACATGTGTGTTGCCATAGCAATAGATGCTGTTAAAGTTTGGCTGGCGGTGTTGAGTCCTCACACCTAGCGCCCACCAGTGTATCCATGCAATTCTCTCCTACTCAGTGTTTCTCCTCTCTCTGCCTCCCCCCCCTCGACTCCCTCTCCATCTGTCCACCTCTGACACTCTCCTCATCTTTCTCCCCTCTCTGTCCCCCCCCCCGTCCCTTTCCCTGCCCCTCCTTCCTAATTGGCTGAATAAGCCAGAGTGGTTCCCCGTGTCAGCTGTGCTTGAGTGAGCTTGTGTTTGTCTATCTATCTCATATGTGTGTGTGTGCGAGTTCCTCCTCTGCTTGCAGGCTGTCGTCGTGCTTGACAGACGACACTGGAGCTGTTGTTTTGGCCATCAGGGCCTCCCCCTTTATTCACAGCCTAATAACCGGCGCCCTTCCTCCATTATTGTACCTATAAATCATTCCCTGCATCACTCCCCCACCGCTTACTCGTTGGCCTTTTACCCATCTTATCTCTCTTTACCCATCACTCCTTCCCCTTTATGCTCCGTCTCTCTCATCCTCTATGTGACGTGTGCAGAGTTTTCTACATGTTTGCTTTTTTAATTCTGCTGGACGAAATGTCTGAAGATTTTTCATTGAAGCTACTCAAAACCCCCTTCTACTGAAGACAACACTTTTCACCATCACTGTATATCCCTCCACTATTTTAACCTATGACTTTCTGTCACAAGTCATAAACCTTTAAGGCTGCATCCAGCCAACATTTTCAATTGAGCGAGAACACACATTTTCCGTGTTAAACTTCAGTGGTCACTACATGGCAAATGACAAGCCAACCCCACCCTGTTTGAGTTTGGACAGCGTCCGATCAGCGACGTTGATTTCTGCTTTGCTCCTCTCCTGGTCTGAAAATGAAGGGGTCACCCAATCAAAGCACTGGAAGAAAATGAGATAGTATCTGTTTAAGGTCTCATAGGAAACATTGAGGGCAGCAGTAAAAGCCTTTGTTCACTCCGGACAGATGCTTTTGTCTGGCTGTCTGGAGCTGTTAAGTGTTTTTGGCCACAGGATGTCATTACGATATCTTGACACTTTGCATTTTGGTTTGTGTTTTATGGCTTGAGTTTTATAGGCTATGATGACGATCAGACACATGTATGTGTAAGAGGTGATTCATAGTTCACACCAGAGGATGACATGAGGAAGAGGAAGGTGGCAGTCGGGAGGAGAGGGGATATGAAGGCATTATTTTCAACACCTACACCATCACACGGTGTTATTTATGTCATGTTACTGGGAAGATTACCACATATTAGAATGTTATGTAAACACATGACAAAGAAGTTGATTTACCATGTTTTTAGTTTGATTCAAATTAGTTTCAGGAACACCTTGGCTTACATGGCTGGATTTTAACAAGGAGGTTAGTCACAGGGGGATTTACATGAAACTATTTTTGCTTATATTTACATATCTTTACACGCAGCAGCACTGGCACACACGGCAGCTTTGATATTGAAAGATATAATGTAACTAGGGTGTGCCTTTCTCTCAAAATTACCCTCTATTCACTCACCGTTTCCCACACACAGTTTCCCCAGAGTCCATCAGCAGCGTTTAGATTTATTAAACCCTCCCTGGTGGATGTCTGGAGCTATTCCTAGCCACGGGTGTGCTAAATGTTTTTACTTGTTCACTCTGTTTGCCCCCGGAGACGTTCGTCATTGTGTAGCGTTTGTGTCCCACTAAACTCTCAAGAATCCCCGCTCTATATTTTCAGCGTAGCCTCATAACAGTTCACTGAGTTTCTATAAGCGTTGTGTTGTTTCCAAAACCCTTGCCCAGTCCTTTCCGGTCCTTTTCTTCTCATTTTTGGCTTACTTTGTTGAGATGATATGATCTGTCGAGGGTATTTTTAGTCCAGAGGTGTCAGACGTTTATTTTTGTAAGGCTACTTTGAGAGGAAATAGCTGTGAGGTCCAGTTTTCTGTGTCATTCCCAGTTGTTTCCATTGGTGAGAGCTAAGGAGCTAATGCCCGGTTTCATTAACCTCCACTGTCCTTATTGCCACTTTACAACACACATGCAGTGTCGAGTATTTGGTCCAAAAAATAGTCTATTGAGAAGTGCTTGATGGAAGAATACACTTATCACAGCGGGGGGCTTCTGGCCACAATAGTGTTTACACAGCCATGGTAATGTTCTACATCCCAGCCCTCCCATTTCCTGTGTGATTGAAATACGAAAGGATAACTCAAATGTTAGATGCAATTCATCATTTGAATGTCAACTAGGAAGTGGGAACAGGTGGTGCTGAAACAGTGAAGGGCTTTGGCTTAGGGACATGTTGTCCTGTATTTGAAAATTGTATGGATTCAGTAAGCGGTTTTGTGTATTTATTTTTCATTATCCTCAGTCCGAAAAACTGGATTTGAACATTTACATGACCTACGGTATATGGAGAAGTACAGAATATTAATTTGGGCGTTTTCATGTAGCCCTCGAATGGGATAAATGCAGGAAGATGCCTTTGGGGGTTTCCCTCTCCTGTAGTGTGCTATAGGTTTGTATGCATATAAATGGTCTGCAAATGCCACTTTTTAAACAGAATAACCAAACATAGTTAGCATGAGCAGTAATGCCCCCCATACTGGAAGAAAAGAGCTCCATCTTCTAGAAACACACCACTCTGAAGTCTAATGTAATCTTATGTAATGGCTAATAAAAGCATTGGGATGACACTATCAGAATGGAACTTGCTTATGTTCGAATGAATCACATTATAGTGACTGCAAAGTGAGAGCGTTACAGTACTTAACGATATCCAAAGTCCTCCTCTATAGCTAGCATGGTGAATTGTAAAAGTGGCTGTCCATCCCAGATCCAGCTTAATGTTAGTCAAATGGAAAACAGTACTTTCCCATCATGCAAACCGGATTAAGAAAGGAGCGAGCCATGGAAACCTTTTCTGACCCATGATGTCATGTTGCTCTGTGTCACACCCAAACACTCGTTTCTCAGCACCATTCTCTTCTTATTAAAGCCACGTAACATCTACTCTTCATACCGCTCCCTTTTCCAATCCTCTTGGCACTCTCTGATATGAACGACTCAGTCTAAAGATAGACCTCCTCCTCTTCCTCCTCCAGCTCTTCATCCTCCTCAGCACCGGATGCTTTGGTGCGCCTTCTCCTAAGATTTCGAGCGGTTATTTTCCCAGAACACACTTTTTTTTTTATCTTCCCTTTGCTGGCATTGCAGTGTTTAAATGGAGCCTGAAATATGGCTGCAGGGGGAAGACACCAGTGGGACAACCTTTGACCTTTGACCTTCCACCCTTGACCTCTGAGTCACCCAGCATTCACAGGAGACAGATGAGCGCTGGTCATGCTCGGACAAGAGAGAGGAGCGGGCAGCAGGAGGGGATAAAGGCCAAAGCGGTTGTTTGGTTTGAGTGGAGTAGTGCACACACACAGACAAACACACACACACACACACACACACACACACACACCCCTCAGGTCATGCTCCATTGACAGCAGGGCCTCAGGTGGTAATTCACTTAGACCTGCAGCATCGTCTGCCGTTGAGGATATGATCCCATTAGGAGGACAGCTGCACAGCTATTCTCAAAGTGCTTTTTTTGTTCGATGCGTAGTTTTTATCCGGTTTATTTTATATTTTTCTTGCAATCTCATTGAATGTGCATTGTGTGTTTATTTAACTATTGCGCAGACCCGCAGGCTTATTGCTGTTTAAACACAGCTGTTAAAAGTGTCCCGCAGTTCCACTCCTTTCTCGCTGGTGTATTTACACATGAGAGAGTATTGGCAAATGCAATTCAAGCTCATTTAGCCGTTTCCTCTTCCTGTGTGCATGCAGACAGCCATGATGTCATGTCTTAAAGTGAGGATACTCAACTCCTTTCATACCGGGGGAATCCCCATATAGATGTGACCAAATGGCCCCATATGGAGTCACATTTAAGGGAAGCCACTTAACACAAATGATTCTTTGGTGGTGGTATGCAGCATGTCATTTAGATTTTAAAAGAATGTAGTACGCTCTTTCTGGTAAAACAATGTGTCAACCAAGAGGATTTGTGCCTTCATCAAAAGAGTCCCCAGTAAGTGGCACGGATAAACCGACGGACAGCTGGAGTTTCCTGCCAAGAAACAGGCCATGTGGGAAATTAGGAATTCTGCACATCCTGGCCATTTCCTGTTCTGACTCCCACACACGATCATCAGTGCATGGATATCATCACACACACACACACACACACACGCACGCACGCACGCACGCACACGCACACACAAGAGGGACTTGTTTTTGTTGACATACTTAAGACCTCATATTTATAGACAAGATGACAAGTGTTTCATGTGTTTGATATGTGAGCCAAAACAGGAAACTGTCCATCATCAACCCTCTAATGCACTCACTCACAAACGCACGCACGCACGCACAGCTTTGACTTGTAATTCCAGCTAAGGCTGGGTTAGGATGGGAGATTGGGGGAGTATATGTTTTGTACATGCACTACATACAGTGACTTAAAGGAGTGGACCATGTGTGCTGTCTGGAATGTGACCGCTCTGATCTGAAACAAGCGCCCCTCAACTCCCGTGTGTGTGTGTTTAGATGACCGATTTTCAATGGTGTTGCTATCATGTTCCCGTTTGCTTTCCCGTTTTATTGCCTCTCACCTACTGCCTGTTTTATTACCTGCTTTTATCACCTTCTTACAACAAAGCATGTCTTCCAGATTGCTCTCAAGTACTTGGTGTAACTAGGTTGGACACACTCGTTGTAAGCTACACACGCACACACATTGTTGCTGGATCAAACGACCAGGGGTCATCCGAGGGGTTAATCCCAGTTTGGTACAGTCCCCACTAGTGACTGACACCAAACAAAGTGGTTAACAGGAGGGATTGATCCCCTCCTGAAAACATCAATGGGATTACCTGCAACTATTCCATCTGATTGGACTGTGTTGGGCACATTGGATTGTACCAACGATCTTAAGGGGGGGACCGTGTCAGGTTGTACCGTCTGAAATAGTTCATTGACTATGAAAGCATGCCAGGTGTTACTCCTCATGTGCTCCACCGTGTTTTCCTTCAACTTCCACATCCTCTCCCCAGATTAAATGTTCTTCCTCGATGTGCGTTGGCATGCACGGGTGTTCATTCCTCAAGTTGGGTTGTCTAAACAGTTAGACTCCCAGCTGGCCTAGAAATTAATCATATGAAGAAATGGTCAGGGTGTAACATTATGTTTGCGCTGTTCTGGAAGTCTTATCTGCTATGCTGTGTCTCCATCATTTTGATGTTTTGATTCAGTGCTTTGTCTATTGAAAAATGCCCTTGAATGAGGCTTTTGGAGTCTGCTGTTGTTCGTTTTAACTCGATACTAAAAGCGTAAACATAATAATATGCACAGTATCTTGTTGGGATGTGAAATTGTATGTTTGATGGTAATTCCTAACCATATATTGACACATTTTCATTCTAATTAACCTCTGTGAAATATGAATTTGTAAATGCTATGTTGGAGAGCATTGCTGGACCTGAGCCACACAGCTGCAGTGACATCACTTCCTGTGTAGTCCAGTAGAGGGCGCTCTTCCCTCACCTTTGACCGACCACAGCCTCCCAACCTGCTACGCCTCCCTTCCTTTCTTCCATCCTTCACCCACTCTGGCCCCTACAGCCATTGACACCACCTGCTGGTGTTGCTGAGTGTTTGATTGACAGGATGAGGCACCAGTCTCGATGCAAAGCGCTCAGTTTGTCAATTTAGTCGATGTTGGACTCCATCGGGGTGTCAGATCCATGTAGAGGCGTCTGTGAACTGCACACTGTGACACACTACGACACACTACAGGGCGTTCAGCGTTCAGACCATCAGACTGCACAGGGTGCCCGCTAGGGGTCCGTGAGCAGTTGTCATGGTAACAGGCAGTGAGGTTGGCATGAGCTGTTTTTTTTTTTTCTTCCTTCTTTAAATCATTCCTGCTATGTATGTGGGTGTGATTTGATAATGTGTGTGTGTGTGGAATCATCTCCTTTACTTAAGTCTGTTTTTGTATCGCTTGTGTGTAGATGGATCAGGTTTCGGACGACGAGTTGGACCATGGGGCCGAGGAGGACAGCGATAAGGAGGACCAGGACCTGGACAAAATGTTTGGAGCCTGGCTTGGAGAGCTGGACAAGCTTACACAGGTCAATACACACACACACACACACACACACACACACACACACGATGGTTGGTTACACAAACTCACAAAGGTAGAGAAGCTGCAAGAAAGGAAGAGGCTGTATCCATAGCAACCTTAACACTGCTAATCCTGTCTCCCTATACTGTATCCTAGCAACTCCCCTCCCACTACCACTTGGTATTATACGTTTGTGCAGGATTGTGTGCGACAACACTAGCAGGCATATATCGGTTGCTTAGATCCTGTGCTGTCACTGTGTCAAAGGGTGTTTTTGCATACGTGCACCTCATGATTTGTGTGTGTGTGTGTGTGTGTGTGTGTGTGTGTGTGTGTGTGTAGAGTCTGGATGACGGCAGGCCTCAGAAGCCTCTGCAGAAGGCTCCTCTCAGGCAGGAGACAAACATGGCAAACTTCTCCTACCGCTTCTCCATGTATAACATAAACGGTGAGACATCACACACAAAAATAGTATAATTGTTACGTGCTTGTGTTTGTGTGTGTCTCTCTCTTCCCCTGCTCCCAATCCCCAATCAGGGCCTCCATGAAGGCCTGAGGAAGGCTGCAGTCTCTGGGTGTTTCTCAATGTCGAGGAAAGCTGCTCCGGAGCCACTATTTCAAGGATACTACGTCATTGAGTGGCGCAGAAGGACTGTTTAAATGCCCAGCATTCGGCGCCACTCGATGACGTAGTATACTTGAAATAGTGGCTCTGCAGCAGCTCTACTCGACATTGAGAAACGGCCTCTCTCTCCTTCTCCTCTGGGCTGCATGTGTGACATGTGCAGCATGTGTAGTGTGCTGTCTCTGTGTGAGACCTGTTAGTTTAACTTGTGTTGGTTCATTGTTAGGAGACGTGCTCCAGTGTATCTTTGTGCATTGAGTACTTTAGTCACTTTCTTTTTAGGAGAAAGTTGTTCTTAGTTTATCTTAAGTTTGAAAATTAAACATTATCTACTCATTTTGCCAAATCAGTTTCCTCTCTTTTTTTCTCTCTCCCGGTTATTTTTATATTTTGTTACTTCCCTTTGTACCCCTAGTTTAGGAGGGAACGTGACAATAATAAAAACACAAATCCCCAAAAATGTGTTTGTAACCCCCCCTCCCATCTCCTTTCTCTTGGCTCCCTGCAGAGGCGTTGAACCAGGGCGACACAGTGGACCTGGACGCCCTGATGGCCGACCTGTGCTCCATCGAACAGGAGCTCAACACCATTTCCAAACCAAACTCTGCGTCTCGCGGGCAGACCAAAGGCCAGCCTCGAGCCCCCGGAGGGCGGAGTGCCAGCACCAAGCACACGGGCACCAGCGGAGGGGGGAGCAGCGGAGGTAGACTTGCTGAATGATGTGTATTAACGATGGCGCTTTATCTAGTATTCTAACTATGAGTAAAGAGATTAAGCTGTTGCAGACATTTAGGTGCTTCCCACTTTGTTTTGTCTTAGAGAAATACACAACAGGAAGATGTCACTCTTCTTCTTGTGCTGGAAATGATGTTTCTGGACGTGGTGCAGCATGCTGAAACATGTTTGTCCTTTTTTTACCAAAGCCAAAAACACCCAGAGTAACAATAAAGAGTAGGGAAAGAGGACAATTAGCTGCTTCCTGTTTGCAGCGGGTAAATATAGATTTTAGCGCTCACCAGCGATGACTTCACCGCTGCATTGTCTTGTTTCTTAATGATCATCTTAAAACGCTTATCAGGAACCTTATCTAATGTATGTGAATATAGACATATTGTAAACATATGTTGATGTCGCACCTGAAATCTAACTGGCATGAATGCAGAGTGATATAGACTAATGTATTAATTAATTATCAATGCACCACATTTAAAGTGGACCTATCATGCTATATTTGAATAATATAGTGTAGTGTATTTATACTTTTTTTTTTTTAAATACCAAACAGATCATGCATTTTAGCCATGCCTCATTTCGCTCAATTTGACAATTTCTAGCTCTGTTTTAGCAAGGGCAGATTCAGTGAGAACAGCCCCATCTACTGGCCTGGCATATGTACTACAGCGTCTCCAGCGCTTTCGAACGGCAATGGCCGTGTCCGTCTCCTCCTGATTGGTGGAGTTGGCCCAATAGCCGTAGCGCCACCGTCCTGACGTCAGGACAGTGTTCAAATCTGGATCAGTTTTTATCAGATCCGTTGCAGCCCCTTTTTTAGAGATTTGGGTATGGAGGAAAATAGAGAGGGTTGTGTTTTCTGACACTTGGTGAGTTCCCTGGAACACCGGGGACACATATTCATGTATAAAAGACGTACAAAAGTGCATTTTGCATGATAGGTCCCCTTTAAGTAAAAAAGAGTTAATCTACACTGATTTTCTTCCATCTAATCTGTTAATCTGTCCAACAGGAAGCACCAGTAGCAGCACCCGTGCGTCGCCGGCCAACACGGTGCGGGGGGGCAGCGTCAACGCCCGCCCCGCCGCCTCCAACATCTCCCTGGACGACATCACCTCTCAGCTGGAGAAGGCTTCGCTCAGCATGGACGAAGCTGCTCGCCAGACCTCTTCTTCCTCCTCCTCCTCCTCTTCTTCTTTCTCCTCCACCACGCTGCGGCGGCCCTCGTCGGGCTCGTCCGGCGGAGGAGGCGGCGGCGGGGGGCAGCACAGGAGGACGGGCTCAGTGGGCGCGGTCAGCGAACAGGAAGCCCCCTCCCAGAGGTCCAGTGTAAACTCAGCATGCGCCTCGGCCTCCAGCATGGACTCTCTGGACATCGATAAAGTGATGGCAGGCGGAGAGGCGGAGGGCCCTGTCCCACAGGGGCCAAACCAGAGCAGCACAGATGTATGACCAACACTGAAACACACACACACAAAACACACACAAGGATAGACGTTGTTATTATTATTGTTAGGGAAGGTGTGTGTGAGCCGCAGTGTGACAGACTGCTGTTCTTTTCCACATGGTGAGGTAAGCGCTGCATGTTTAACCAGCATGGAGTGTGCTGACGGTCAATCCACAATACATCCTGTGTATTGTGCATTGGATGGTGTGTTTATGGATACATTGTAATCTCCAATACTGCATCTACCATTTCTGAATTCCTTTGCTAACTCACCAAGCATCTTGGCTCTTTAACAAAAGCAGAATGTGCTCTAAAGGCTTCGCAGAAACAACGACCTGAGCTAAATGACTAAACCAAGTGAATGTTTAGGTGTCTTGAAGAACAGAAAACTGTGACATAGTATTTAGCTTCAGAAGTAACCAAGTCAAAGGGCTGCACAGCTCCTTGAAGTAAATAAAAGATGTGTACCCCCCCTAGTGGCTGGCTGTTAGTTTAGGAAGCGCTTGATTTGAGCAAAGCTTGCATTTGAAACCTCAGTCTATTATAAAGGATCCAATATTGTAACAGATGTTCAACTAATTGTGCAGCCCTAACACGATATCATGCATGTCCCCTGCCCCCCCCCCCCTGCATGTCATCACTGTATCTGTGTTTGCATCCTTTCTATATCTGTATCCACACACACCTCCTGGTTCTCCCAGCCTGTCACACTGCGGCGGGCCAGACGGCAGCTTGACTTCTCCTCACGGGAGTGGGAGGTGGACCGGGCCACTGTAAGTGCGTGTGTGCGTGCGTCCGTGCGTGCGTGCAATCTGGGTGTTTGCCAATGTAAGGCTGCAGATTAAATTGTAATTTTCCGACACATTAAATTGACATTTTAATTTGAGATTCAGTTGTAGTGTGCAGCCATTGGTTTATGTGTAATGCATGCACATGTAACCATAAAAGTGTGAAGTGGTTGGAAAGAGTGATAGTGTGTGTGTGTGAAAGTAGCTGTAGACTCTAGGTTGAGTAGCTAGCCTGATGCACACTATACTATGTGATGATATCTCTGTTTGTATCCTCAGTTCCTCTCACAATCACTGCTTCTTTACCCACAGCTGCAGCTAAGAACTGCTGAGCGCTCCATTTATGGAAACTTCTCTCGCTTCCACGCTTCTTTTTATACAAAAAGATCACCTGCGATTAATAAGCCTCCCGAGAATCACCTGGCACTGACTCTTCTATATTTCTCTCATTTTTGTATCCTCTCTTCACCCCAAGCACTCCTATCTGGACCGAGAAACCTCACTCATTCTGAAAAGCATAGCAGGAAAGCCTTCTCACCTCCTGACCAAGGTGACTTCCTCATACACTCGCTTTGTTGGGTTCACTCTCGTGTGTGTGTGTGTGTGTGTGTGTGTGTGTGTGTGTGTGTACTGCTTCTCTCTTCTGCTTTGCATGCCTTGGGAAAAATTCATTCTCTGAAAACAGCTGCTGGAAAACAGACTTATTTATTTCCCTTAATTGAAACAAGAGGCAGACTTAACAGTGTCTCAGCTGATGTCAGCCTTTCTCCAACAAGGAATGCACAAATGAAGAGAAATGCCTGTGGCAAGTTGAGAGACATTTGGCAAGTTGAGAGACATTTGGCAAGTTGAGAGACATGTGGCAAGTTGAGAGACATGTGGCAAGTTGAGAGACATGTGGCAAGTTGAGAGACATGTGGCAAGTTGAGAGACATTTGACAAGTTGAGACATTTGGCAAGTTGAAAAACACTGTATTGCAAGGAATGAAAATGAAAAGATTTTCTACGAGACTATCTGTGTAACATTCATTTTTCAGCATTTACCTTGCACTTACTTCACCGTGCTTATCTTCCCCGGCATGTCATCTCTTGTCTTCTTTCCTTCATGTTTCCTCTCTGTCTCCATGTAGCTTGCTTATGATTTTGTTTATGAAATTATGTTTATAAAGTTACAATCATGAATGGTGTCAGAACTCTGGGGCTGTAGCTTTTTCGTTGGTTGCACAAAATGAGAACTCTTCATTTAATTAGCAAACAATAGTTTTAGAAAAAAAAAACATGATATAAACTAAATTATTAATAATAAAAAGAATGGCAAGTTGCAGTCCTATGGATGCATCCTTAAATGTTCTCTCAAAGCCGTGCATTGATGTGTATCGTGGTTGAATTTGGACCCTTCTCCTACTACTAGACTCCTGGTGCTAGGATGGGTGAAAAGCAGAGAACAAATGTCACTGTGTGTGCTGTGTGCTCTGCATGTGTGACCATTAAAGAGGGTCTCATCCCTCCCATTCTATCTTCCCTTAGTCCCAACTCTCCCCAACCAGTTTTTCTGTAAACCTCTTGGCAGTTTTCACAGTGACTGTATTTTGTTGCAGCTTATTCCGATCAGATGTGTTGTTCAAAGTGCTTGTGATTGTTCAAATCTTCGCCAAGTGCAAAGCAGGGGACGCCACGTGAGGTAGACGATGCATGCCAGAGTTTGAAATCCTATTGAGCAAGAGCATTTACTGCATATGAGACAAGCCACAAATGTTGCTAATCTTCCAAACTCCAGAGAAAGATTTTGATTATTTCCAGGACTTCTTATTTTTCATGGACTGTAAAACAAAAGACAGCCTTGTACTACTCGTGTTGGAATAAACTGGAAGATGTACATTAGCGGTCACTGGCATAGACATGCAGATTTCTTTCCAAAAGCCTTTGAGTTATCCCCGTTTATTACAATATAATGATGGCCAACAGTGGAGCTGGCTGACTCTCAGTTATGTCCTTTAAATTTTACAGCCAAAATCCTGGAGGGGAGTTTTTTCTTTCTCCTGCTATTACAAAACAATGGAATTGATTCAGTGTTTCAAAGCGTGTGGCTGCTCTCACTGTGTCCATGTATGCAGATAGCATTTGACTGGTTTTAAAAAGTGTGAGAGGATGGATAGCCCGCGGCGGACCGGCTGTGAGGGAGTTTGTGTTAGTGTAACACACTGCAGCAGAGAGGGAGCCGCAGACTCACCCTGGTTTGGAATCAGAATACTGAATGAGCGCGGGACGTTTGGGAACGAGACATCAAAGGGAGAGGGTGCCAAGATTTTCTTCCCAAGCTCGGCAGAAGAGCCTTTTTAAAATTGGCTCCATGGTGTGAAAGTGGAAGGGAACACGCCTGTGGAATAGCAATCAGATTAATACATTAAAAAAGCAGGGTGTAGGTGTCATAAGGGGAGGAAATAATGGAGTTACGCTATGTGTGACTCAAATTGACTGTAATCCTTACAACCCCGTGACCTCTCCTCTCTCTCTCACACTCACACTAAAAGCCTGCCACCATGTGTTGGCCAAACACAGTGTTATTGCATTAATGTGCCCTGGAGCTGGTCATGTGGAAAAGGTAGTCTGGGTCACGAAGAAGAAGGAGGAAGAGGTCTAGTTGTGAAAACCCCTTCTCACACATAGACTTAAAATATTCAGCACCTCCGCTTTTCATTCACCCAAATCCCACTCTCCGTCGTTGTCACTGTGGTTTAGCTCCGGGGCCATCGCCGGTCACGGTTTCCCCGCTCTTCCTGATTGGCTACAGAGGAGAGTATAGGGCTCGGCTGGTTGGCTGACCCTCTCATTCTACTATTTTTGCGGGGATTATGCTCCATCGATTGGGCACGCTCCCAAACCCCCCACATCTGGCATAAAAAGAGGGTGATGGAGAGAGGGGAGGAGGCAGGAGTCGGAGGGTGTGAGGGGGAGGGGCATGGTCCTCCCTACTGTCTCATTTGGGGTTGTAGTCAAGTTGTGCTCATCTCGCCACAAAGTCTCTTCTGTGAGTGTGGATTTTCACCCACTGAGGATCATTGTGGAATAACTTTTCCAACACCAGTAGCTGGCTGGGAAGACGGACTAAAATGTATTTATTTTCCTGGGTTGTTTTTTAAGTTTTTTTCTTGAGAATCCATTGAATTATGGATGGGATGAATCTGGAGGTTTTTCAGATTTGTTGCCCTTGTTCATGATCTTCGCCGCAGATCAGTGTATCTCTGAGTGGAGGGCATAGAGGCTTTCTGAGCTGATCTACTCTCATCCGCAGCCTCTCGCCCTTCGGGGATCTTCTGCCATTGTTTCCCTCTCTGCTGTATAGCAAGATCAAAGCAAGCCGCTGCGGCACCATATGAATCCAATATGGAACCATAGGCAGAAAATGCAGCGCCGTATTTGAGGGGAAAACTGGACCAATGTCACAATAGCGGCGTTTTAGCAACACAGTGTTTTCGATAAAAAATTCTCACACACGTTGCGGTAAAACACGTGGAAGCAAACAAAACCTGCGGGATGGAGGTGATGGCATCCTGTTGGCGGGGGCAGGTAAGCGACCCAAAAGCATGGAAAAACTGGATCTGGGTTTTGCACGACACTGTGCGCCATCATGCCTGAGGCTTGTGCATGTAAATGGTTTAGAAGGCTGCTTACTATTTAATGAAGTTGTATGTGCATGGTGTCTCGTTCCTGCCAGAGGAAGAGGATGAGGCAAGGCGGTGAAATCAGAAACCTTTTTTTCAAGGGTTGTGTGTGTGTGTGTGTTAATGATATTAACCGTGCTCCTGCGTGTTCATCTAGGAGGAACAAGCTGCCAAACTGAAGGCAGAGAAGATCCGAGTCGCCCTGGAGAAAATCAAGGAGGCACAGGTCAAAAAGGTAGGACCACCTTTGTACTTACCGAAAACAATAATAATATTCTGACTGGTGTAATAATCGCTGTCTCGTCATATTCACCGCACACTGCATTTTCTTTGTGAACTTCCTCCACGGCAAGGCGGTGGAGCGCAGAGAAAATAGGTCATTGCAGTGTTTGATTATGTGTGTATCTGCCGGGGAGGGAGCGAGACATCAGAGAGAGGCTTCAGAAAAAACAGACAATGCAGACACACAAAGCGTCGTATTTACCACATCCAGCCAAACAAGTGCTGGTTTTTCTGTGAACAATACGGACTCCCTGAAAGCATCGGCGTGTGCGTGTCTCTATTGGGAAGTCCGCATGGGACTCAACAGGCCGGACATTTTTAACCAGTGTCTCCCCCAGTGAATGGTGTCCTTTTACATGCAATGAATGGTAGAGACTCAGCAGTGTTTCACCACAAAGGGTTAGACTTACTATAGCAAGATAAAGAGTGCTGGTACCAATGACACATACTAAAAGTGCTAAATTATTACTCGCATCGTCAGCAATTTTCCTCACAATTTACTATATGTTACATCTATGACATTGAAGCAGCATTCGGATAACAACTTCCAGATGTTGTTGAAGCTGTGTGATTTATTTTATCTTTTATTCTTCCAGACTAGGGGTTTCAAGGGGTCCCTCCTGTGAGAAATGTAGGTCAGACACCCCCCAAATGTCTTAGCCTCACAGCTTTCCCAGCTATTTCATTGGCCCAAGCCTCTCTTCAATCATCTGTACCCCCACTCGGATTGGACGTCAGGGTCCCTGTGGGAGGGGTTAATCTGGATGTCAAGGAATTGAAGTTTTAATTTTGTTTCACACCAGGAGAAATCTTCTGTAGGCTGTGATTAAGTGAGGCTGGATTTGGCACGTGTTATTCAGATTAGGTAAAGCCTGCTTGTTATTGAGGACTTTTGGCTGCGGATGCAAAACTTTAGCCAGATTATAGGATTTGACTTGTTTATGTGACTGTGTGACTGTGGTGACCCCATAAATAGTATTTAAAAGAAGCCTGACAGGCACATGATTCATCCTTTTCAATCCCCTAATCAGGTTCAGAGCCTTCATTTAAAATGGACAGCTGCAAAAACCACTGTGCCATGAAATATTTTAACACATACAAATAGACTTTAAAAGGAAAGATATGCACTTTAAGGGTTATAAAGTGCAAGAATAAGTAGTTCACGAGGAGCGATATCCAGGGTCTTTTGTAGAAAAAATGGAATTGAAACTTGGATGGTGATCAGAATCTTAGAAAATAAATGTGTTCGTTATACAAAAGTGTTTTTTCTCACGTTGTCCATTTTTTCTCTCTCGTTTATCCTCCTCTTCCTCAGCTGGTGATCAGGGTCCACATGTCGGACGAGAGCTCTAAGACCATGATGGTGGACGAGAGGCAGACAGTCAGGCAGGTGCTGGACAGCCTGCTGGATAAATCCCACTGTGGATACAGCCCTGACTGGGCTCTGGTGGAAACCATCAACGAGCTGCAGATGGGTAAGAGAGCGTTGGCTTTAGTCTGTCGGCATTATAATCTAAAAATACTCTCTGTTTGTGACCTCTGGCTAATTGTCAGTTCAAATGTCTGCCCCACCTAAAAAAACTGGAATCCCTGGAGGGAGGAAATTAAGTGCACATTTGCGTGTCAGCGGTTTGCATATCTTGCATCTTATCTTCATCACTCTCGTCTCTCCTCCCCCTCTCAGAGCGCATTTTCGAGGATCACGAGAACCTGGTGGAGAATCTTTTGAACTGGACCCGGGACAGCCACAACAAGCTGATGTTCATTGAGCGCATCGAGAAATACGCTCTCTTCAAGAACCCCCAGGTACATTTCACTCCAGGACAGTGGGGACGGATCATCCTCTCGATGCCCTCCCCTGCATTCAGTGTGTTAATCCCGACAGCATATGCTACTCACACAAACACATTGTTTATGCATGCTGGTGGCTGGAGTGAACAAGGGCGTGTGTTTGTGTAGTAGGAAGTAGGTCAAGTAAAGCGAGTAAAGGTGAATAATTTATTTAACATAAGACGAGGTGATCCGCCGACTCCCTTCTCTCACTGTTGCTTTCAACCATCTCCAGAACTACTTGCTGGGGCGGAAGGAGACATCAGAAATGGCTGACAGGAATAAAGAGGCGTTATTAGAGGTGAGATTAAAGTTCCCATCTTTCCTACACATCAGGAGGATTACCTACAAGATCAAGTTCAACATGAATGTGTCCTCAGGAGTGTTTCTGCGGCGGCTCGGTGTCCGTGCCGGAGATCGAGGGCATCCTGTGGCTGAAGGAGGACGGCAAGAAGTCGTGGAAGAAACGTTACTTCCTCCTCAGAGCTTCGGGCATCTACTACGTCCCCAAAGGCAAAGCCAAGGTCAGTGAGTGTGCATTAGGCTCATACCAAGTGTTGCACAAATGTTGGGGTTATGAGAACCAGATCTGCTCTGTGGTATTTCCTGTTGGCTGCAGTGCCTGATCACAACACAAACAACACATGTGCTCTATTTTTAGCAATAGGACAAATGGTATCATTTTGTTACCTTATTTAAATGCTGCCGCTTTGTGCGAGTCCTACAATACATTAAAGTGTACTCAGAAGCAGCATGTGCTTCACAAACACTTTCAGGCTATGTATTTAACACACATGTAACCAAAATACATCAGCCATGTGTCAACCCTTCCTCCATGTCTTCCTCTCTGCAGGCGTCCAGAGATCTGGTGTGCTTCCTGCAGCTGGACCATGTGAACGTGTATTACGGCCAGGACTACCGCAGCAAATACAAAGCGCCGACTGACTACTGCCTGGCCCTGAAGGTGAGGGGGGGGGGTGTGTTGTTCTGACACCAACAGATATGTAGTATCTTAACATAGACTCTGACAGGGTGTGAATTTCTCATCCTATAAATGGACATAAAATGGAACATGTGAATTAATTTGTACAGTCTCTAGAGGCTTATTAGAGCTTCTCTCCTACACTGCCAGACTACATCCACTATGCATTAGCCTTCCATTATAAACACCTTTCTGTTACAAGCTCTTCAAAATGCTTCCAAACAAGTTAATAAGAGTATTTGCTTTTGATCACCAATAACAAGTGGGTTAGTACTCGTTGTCTTTTATGTAAAAAGATGACAGGAGATTCCTTAAATCTGTCCTTTTATATATATTTAATAGATTATCCTTTAAAATAAAGCTTTAAAGCACTTTTTCAGTGGACATTTGTGGATAGTAAAATATGTATCAACTTCTCTGTAGCATCCACAAATCCAGAAGAAGTCCCAGTACATCAAGTATCTGTGCTGCGATGACGTCAGGACCCTGCACCAGTGGGTGAATGGGATTCGCATTGCCAAGGTACGTCTACTAATCGATCGAGTCCAAACAATGTTCTCTCACACTATGTAAAGTATGTTAATTAGTTTATCTCATTTTCTGTTTGTTTGTAGTATGGCAAGCAGCTATACGTGAACTACCAGGAAGCCATGAAGAGGACAGAGGCGGCCTACGATTGGTCCTCTCTCTCGACCGCCAGCATCCGATCAGGCTCCAGCTCCGCCAGCATACCTGGTGAGTTTAACACAACAGTATAATATATATGTGTTCCTTAGATTTGGACATACACCATACCTACATTTCCCATAATGCTGCTCAGAAGCATCCTTTGTTAGACTTCCCCTGCCCTTCCTGGTAAATGCCTGTCTTTCAAACACTTTGAGAAACGTTCTTTATAATTCTTAACTTTTTGGCTAATAACGAATAACGTCGTACTGCACATCTATTATCATCTTACTCCACTAATGATATACGTTCTTTCCTGTGTACTTCCAGAGTCCCAGTCTAATCACTCAGGCCACTCGGACAGTGGCGTGGACACGGGCTCGTCTCACGGCCGCTCCCAGAGTGTGGTGAGCTCCATCTTCTCTGAAGCCTGGAAGAGAGGTACCCAGATCGAGGAAAGCTCCAGGGTAAGGCCTTCTGATAAAGAAAGCAGGAATGAATTAAAAAAAAGCCTGTTTATAGTTCGGTGTGAATGCTCAGAAACGTTCCCAACATGTGATCTTCATCTGGAGAAATCTGCATTGCAATTTAGCGGAAGGAATTGCATTCTCTAGTTGCCTATGTGTCATTTATGTCACTCAGCTAACACATAGTCTCTTCTTTTACAGGCATCCAGAGGGGCCACCCTGCCGCACGCTTCCCACGCTCACCGACACCACAGCCAGCACTCGGCTGATATCCCCGCCCTGACGCCCTCCCCCCAACCTCAGCTGCAGCAACAGCATCAGCAGCCTCCACAGCAGCAGCAGCAGCAGCAGCAGCAGCCTCCACAGCAGCAGCAGCAGCAACAGCCTCCACAGCAGCAGCAACAACAACAACCACCACAACAACAACAGTTTCCACCACAGCAACAACAACTTCCTCCCCAGCAACAACCACAGTTTCCACCACAGCAACAACCACAGTTTCAGCAACAACATCCACCACAGCCTCCACCACAGCAACAACTTCCTCCACAGCAACAGCATCAACAACATGAACAACAACAACAACCACAGTTTCAGAAACCACCACAGTTTCAACAACAACCACAGTTTCAGCAACAACAACCACAGTTTCAGCAACAACAACCACAGTTTCAGCAACAACAACCACAGTTTCAACAACAACCACAGTTTCAACAACAACCACAGTTTCAACAACAACCACAGTTTCAGCATCAGCCTCCACCACAGCAACATCAACTTCCTCCACAGCAACAGCATCATCATCAACAACCACCACAGTTTCAGCAACAACCACAGTTTCAGCCTCCTCCACAGCACCTTCCACAGTATCAGCACCCATCAATGCACCCCCACACCCCTCCCCAGCACCAGCCCCCTCCCCCCCAACAGCACCCTCCCCTCCAACAGGCCCCCCCTCCCCAGTACACTCAGCGTCCTCCGCCCTCCCCTCAGTCTCCACAGCAGCAGCCCATCAGCAGCTACAACAACCACATGCCCCCCCAGCAGGTGGCTCCTCCCCCCCAGCAGGTGGCTCCTCCCCCCCAGCAGGTGGCTCCTCCCCCCCCACCTCCGCCTCCCCCTCCTCCCCTTCCCCCAGTACACATCGTGTCGAACCACTCCCCCGCGCTCACCATGTACAAGTTTAGCACCATCACCAGGCTGCAGAACCAGAAGGGGAACCAGCCTCTCAATCAGAGGCTTCCGGGGCACCTCCATGCTATTGGTCATCAGGTTCTGCCCGTTGGCCCGATGCCGGTCAAACCAAACCCCAATCACATCGCAGCACGGACTAATGTCCCGCCCCCCCCCTCCGCCCCCCCCCCTCCCCCGCCTCCTTCCATGCCGGCCCCAGGTTCAGCCATGGCCGTGTTGAGGCTGGGCCCCCCGAGCCCTGCTGCCCACCCCTCCTTCATCCCTCCCCCCCCAGCACTTCCACCTGCTCCACAGACCAACGGCCTAGCCTTCCCTCCCCCTCCGGCTCCCATCAGCCACCCTGTCTACAGCACCGGGTTGAAGCAGGCGCTGAAGGAGAGGTTTCCCAGCCCGCCGCGGGACCTCCCCTCTCCAAATGGACTCGAGGAGTCCCCCCCGCCTGCCCCTGCTCCGACACCCCCACCTCCCCCGCCTCCCCTCCACCCCCACCTCCTCCCCCCCAGCAGTTCCCAGTGCCGGCCTACTTCCCACCTCCTCCTGCACCCAAAACCTTCACCCCAGGGTTTGTCCCTCATGCTACCCCCAAACCTGTCTCACCTGTCTTCCCTTTCCCTCCTGCCCCACCTCCTGCCAGCCTGGGTGGCCCCACCCCCCCGCCACCTCCCCCTCCTCCCCCACCTGCACCCTTCAAGAAGCAGTTCAGCCTCCAAAACTCCGGCCCTCCACCTCCGACTTTCCCCAAGCAGCACAGCCTGTCTAAACAAACAGGGGCTCCTGCTCTCTCTCTGGTGAAGCAGCTGGCCAGTCAGTTTCCGGGAGCTTCCTCCCCAGCAGCCAATCACACGGAGAGCCCCAAAGCCCCCCTCTCCCCCCCTGCAGTCAAAACCAAACCAAGATGGCAGCCAGGAGGCAGCCAGCAGCTTCAGTCTCCAGAGTTCCCTCCTCCTCCTCCGGACGGCAGCGCTGGCTTCCCTCCAGGCCCCCCTCCTGCTCCTCCTGCTCCTCCTGCTCCTCCTCCTGCTCCTCCTCCTCCTCCAGCCCCTGTCACAGGCCCCACTCCACCACCTCCTCCCCTCCCTCCTGGAAACATGGGCTCCCCGTTGAAGAGTACACCCTTTGGGTCCTCCAACTTCGGAGGAAAGAAGCCCCCTCCCGCCCCGCAGAGAAACCCCAGCGCCACCCCCTACGAGGAGTCCAGGAGGAACCTGCTCAGCAAGTTTGCTCCCCAGAACACTGGCCCTCCTTCCTCCCCCTGCCCCGCCTCCCCCTCCAAGGACCCTTCATCTGGACCACCTGCTCCGCCGAAACCAGGCAAGCTCAACATGGCCAACCTGCCCTTGGGGCTGCAGTCCAAAGTGAACCAGGTGAAGCAAACGGGCGGGGACTACCCAACCCCCCCGCCTGCCTGCGCCTACTTCCCTCCTCCTCCTCCGCCCTCTGATCTCTTCCCCCCCCCTCCTCCTCCTCCCCCTCCTCCTCCTCCTCCACCCGGTAGTGACTCCCACAGCGGAGCCCCTCCTCGAGTTGCCGTGGTGAACCCCCAGCCCCAGGCCCCGCCTCCTCCTCCGCCTGTGCCTCTTTTCAGCAACTCCACATGGGGAAAAAGCTCACTGAAAAAGACTCCTCCACCGACACTTGCCCGGCGCAGCAACACGACCCCGGAGCCCCCCAGCCTCTCCTCACCCCCACCCACCTCCCCAAAGGGCGGCTCAGGCCAGCCCAACTTCATGGACGACCTCCACCGGACGCTGAAGCGAAAGTCGGTGGGACGCCAGGGCTCTCTGAGCTCGGCCGGCCTGATGGGGAAGGCGGAGCCCGTGGGGACGATGGACGACATGGCGCTGCCCCCCCCGCCCCCCGAGCTGCTCCTAGACCAAGGCAAGCAGAGCAACGGAGGAAACGGGGGCTACATGTCCGGAAACATCTCAGGCTATGCAACGCTACGACGAGGACCCCCACCTGCGCCACCGAAACGGGGGGACATGACCAAACTTACTTGAGAGAGTTGGACTTGGAGATCAGGACAATAAAGAGATGGATGAATAGACAATGAGAGATGAATATGGAAGTGAACATTCATCAGGAGCAAGGCTCTTGGATCACGATGATAAATTGATGACTGTAAATACTGAAACCCAAACCAGACCATGGTCCATTAGTGTTTATGTTTGGCAATATGGATGGGTGGGGTTTACATGTAAAACTAGAGCAGGCAAGTTTGACATCGCTGAAAACTAACTGTTATTTTTCTGCGATTAGTCTAAACTCTCTGGAAGACATTGTTTGGGAAACCCCGCCTATCTTGTACCCCAAGCAGATTTAAACACTAATAAGAATTGTGCAAATATTACTGGAACCAGGTCTGAGCCAAACCATGTTATCCGCTTCTTTGCCATACGGTTGTGCCGCGTAAAATAAAATAAAAACCCACATCAGGATGTTTCTGCTCGGTACTGCATGGACTTCATGTGAGAACAAGCGGTAAAAAAACACGAGGCTGTTCTGGTGTGTGTGCATGAGTGAGAGCGAGAAACTGGACACGCATACATGCATCGTGTGCATGCACGGTGTACGGCGGGGAAGTAGTTAGTGGCGGCCTCGTGGAGCAGGGACGGTCTGCTTTTATATAAAATTATTTAATGATCGATAAATGGAAGGATTTTTTTTTAATATAAGTCTGTCTGGTCAGCAAAGTCTAGAGAGAAACAAAGGAATGTATATGGGAAGGTGTGTGTAAACATAAGGTCAACAAGGCAGTAATACAAATACATTTCTAGACTGTGTTCAGAAGGAGCCTTATCCCCAAAGTCTTGCACAGAGGTCAAAGCAGAAAGGAGATTTCTTCCAAAGGTTCAGCAGAGTCTGGACTGTGCAACCGGAAAGAAAAAATAAACTGCTTTTTTTTTATTTAACAAAGGAGGTGGGAGGGGGGCTGTGGTGGTGTATCTTCGTCGACCGTGTCCCGTGCGTTGGCTTGATTTCGGACGGTATCCTTCAGTTTCTGTACAGTTGCAGCTGCTACTCCGTTAGTCTCCGCCCTCTTCTACAGGCAACAGGAAGTAGAATGTACAGGTTGGATTCAGACCATTCAGACATGTGAAGTATACTCCACACACCCAGTTGAAAAAATATATATTTGTCTGGTTAATGTACAGAGCGTTAAATCATGATAACAGAAATCATCTGAGCGGCATAGCACTGAATGTCGCTCTGTGTCGTGTCTTCATGGTGCCGGTGGTGCGCGGGGACTAAAGGCCTACAGAGTGGATATTAAAGGGTTTACATTTCTTGCAACAATGCCTTTACTTTCAGGGTGCTAGTGCTGTGTTTCAAGGAACTCATCATCAACACGTCCCTGTGTGCCAGCATGACATATCATTAATATTTCAGACTGTTTAAACTGGTTTTGAATTGGCTCTAGTGTGGAAATGTGTGCTTGGAGTGATTTCCACACGAGGCCCTTTTTATCATGCTATTATTTTGTCCTGCAAATCATTTATTATAACTGCGTATCATTGTCTTTTAAGCAGGATGTGTGCTACAGTACAGTATGTAAGTTATTGATGTACTGTTGATGTGGGGCCAAGTGAAATGAAGAAAAACGGTTGCAGATGTGATCGTCTTGCATATAAACTGAAAATCACAATATAAATGTTCAAACCAGACCTCAATCTGTCTCAGAGTCCTACTTTGTTCAAATGATCCAGAAGATCTAGGTGACTTAAAAGGGTCCTATTGTGCTCATGTGGTTCATGTTTTTATTGTGTGCCTGACTGTGACATGTCTGCATGCTTTAATGTTCAAAAACTGCTTATGGAACTTTGTGAGGATTGCCTTTGCAGACCATTTACATGCACCAAAACCTATTGCACACTACAGGACAGAGAAAACCCGAAAAAGCATAACGGGGCCCCTTTAATGTAATGCATTAAAGCGCCATGATTTCAAATGGGAGTAAGAGGAGAACAGTGTTTAGGCTCCATCTAGTGGTCTTATCATGCAATACACTAAGACAAAAACTACAGAAACACATTTTAGCAGCTATGGGGATTGAACTATTACCTCCAACAGTCAGGAATCATTAAGTAGAATCCCACAATTGAATAATAATAAGGGACAAAAATCACGGTGTGCAAATTCAGTTTTTACTTCCAGTTTGTCTTCTGATCAGCACTAAGTTTCCAGAGTGAGCTGAAGTCTCACACCAGGTAGCTGGTGAACGTGTCACCTCGAGTCTGGTCGTCTTCCGTCTGTTTTTGGATGGAGCGAGCAGGCAGGACGGGTGGAGGAGTTGTGACTGTTGACAGATATAAGGTTAGTTAAACACTCTGAATACAGCCCTTGTAAATATATTTTTGGAGGGTGGAGGAGTTGTGACTGTTGACAGATATAAGGTTAGTTAAACACTCTGAATACAGCCCTTGTAAATATTTTTTTGAAACATTCAAGGCAAGCACTGTGACCATGTGAAAACCATTATGATAAATCTAATTGAAACACTATTTAAAGTTGAAACGCTCCTACCTTGATTTGCAAATGGGATGTTGAACTGGTGTCTCCCTCTTGAGAACATCTGTGAATCAACATAATATTGTTGATTATATTGATTAGAAAGCTCCACTTTCTCACCTTTTATTAAGGGTTTTGCTTCATTTATTAAAAATGCTGTTCTATTTTCATGGAAAACCTTCAAATAGACTTTCATTGTCCACTTGAATATAGGTTATATGACTTGCTATGGCTTAAAATGGATAATGAGCTTGATGAATTAGTGTCAAAGTCAGCTCTACTTTCCCCCCTTTAGTCCTCACCTCCTCACTGGACTCAGAGCTGGAGCTGGAGCTGGAGGAAGAGTCACGGCCACATTTGAGAGACACCACCTGGGTGGAGTTGGCCGACACTCGAAGCCGACTGGAGCAGGAGAAGGTCGGCTGCAGCGAAGGAGGAAAGGGTATCATTTTCACAAGGCAGAACAGATCTGATCAGCACACTCTGTCCCAGTAAATCAGTGCCAACTCAAACAGTGGGCTGCAGCAGTCTGTCAACATGTGTCCTTCCCAGAGATAAGATATGAGTATTGTACAAGTACACTTTAACATTCAACAATCGTATTCTGTGCATTGATAAGTGCAGGACACATGTTTTATTTGCTTTTTGCCGTTTGTTGCATTCTCTTTTTGTGTTACACCCATGTGGCAGCAATCTAAAACAAACCATAATAAGATCCCTGACATTGAATATCTCACCACAAAGAATCCGGGTCTGAAGGCACATGTCTGGGGGTCGTGTCTTGAAGCCTTCACACACTGCGTCTCTTTAATGCCAAACACCATCTGCAGGTCTATGGTGTTCAGGCGCATGGGAATCACCTGGCATGTGATATTTGTTATATTGAAGATAAAACAAAGACGGCATGACTAGTACTACCTCTATTCTGTAAATAGCCACTGCAATTATTTCCTGCAACAACAATTCAAAAATGACCACAGAAACTGCAGTTTAACGTCCTTTAAGGTTGAATGTGCTGACCTTTGTGACGGAGCCTCGAGTCGCCCGGTAAAGATGGCTGACAGCGTACACAGAGTTGACCCTGGCTAGAGCTGCTGTGAGCCCCCTGTCTGCCATGGCCCCCAGCTCAGAGTTATACAGAGGGACTCCTGCATAGATGTGGAGAAAGTCTGTCACTGAGTCTCCTCATGAAGTGCTGCAGACGGAGATCCACTCACCTGAGCATCGCACAGCCTGCAGCAGCGCCAACAGAAGCACGTAGGACTTCATCTCCAAAACTTAAAACCTGTCTTTCATTTTCTGACTTCTAAATATATCCAGATTTTTTTCTAGCAGCCCTATGCGCCTCCTTTTACCCTCAATAACCTTTAAAATGAACTCCCTCCCCTTCTCTGTCACGCTTCTTTCACTCGATACCTGCTAACCTTTGTTTAGCAGTATTGATCCCAGGGTGATGTCCTGAATTAACACTGCACTGTGATTCAAAAACTTGTATTGTTTACATAAGGGTCCCCCCTTTATATGAAAAGAGGATTTTACTAACTAGGACTATTTCAGGCCCGCAGTGTGAATGTAAAGAGCCAGATTGGGGGTTCCTACCAGGACATCAGCAGTCTGGAGATCTTTGTCCTATTTCCTATCTTCGGTTCGATCCTTCTGAGGCGCAGGAGTTTGCCAAATGAAAGGTTTACCTCTCAGGTCAGATGGCTCAGAAGGATAGAAGACTGACTGTGAGACTGCAGGTTGTGGGTTCAAGGCTTTTCAGGTGCAGTCATCTTTAAGGTCCAAAAAGCCAAATGAGCAGGTCATAAGCTCTACGAAACAATGATGACTCAGGACAGATGGCGCAGAGGGATATGTAACAAGTCAGAAGACCTGAGGTTGTGTGTTCGAATCCTCGTGATGCTCAGTGATTTTTAAAGAGCTTTACTCAAAATGAAGAGGATAAATGCGCCCAGAGAACAGGTCTTCATGTACATGAGTTGGTGGCTATTTGGGTTTGTTCTCGGCACTTAGGTGACTTAGTGCGCAATGAGGCGCCTAAGTGCTGGGAACAGATCCGCTGCTTAGCATGTGCGGGGTTCGAGTCTACTAGAGGCAAGGTAGCTAATAAAATAGGTCCAAAATAGAGAAATAAAATAGGCCAACAAATTAGGTGAAAAGTAGAATAAATAGAGTTCCAAGACAGGATAGGTGACCAACTAGAAAAGCATAGAGGAATATGGGTAATGTAAACATTGAGCTCAATTAGGGGATAGATTAGTCCTTTCTTTTCTAGATACTTAACTCTGACTGTTTGCACTAGGACTTGTTTTATTTCCTTTTTTCACATTTTCTTTGTTTGACAAAATCTAGCAAACACCAACAATAGCTCAGAGTGATACAACACTGCTCGGGTAAGCTGAAGTCTTGGGTTCGATCCTCATGAGGCGCAGGAGTTTTCAAAATCTCAAACCCAAAGTTGAGAATGAATTTACCAAATGAAAGGTTTATCTCTCAGGTCAGATGGCTCAGAGGGATAGTAGACTGACTGTGAGACTGCAGGTTGTGGGTTGAAGGCTTTTCAGGTGCAGTCATCTTTAAGGTCCAAAAACAAATGGCTCAGAGGGATATGTGACAGGTCAGAAGACCTGAGGTTGTGTGTTTGAATCCTCGTGATGCACAGTGGTTTTTAAAGTGCTTTACTCAAAGTGAAGAAGCCCAGAGAAGTACCACATGTTAGCATAAGTTAGCTGCAAGCTAGCAACATGCTTCTAAAATGTAGTGGAGTATATGTATTAAGTAGTGTAACTGTACAGGTAAAGTACATGCACCTCAATTGTAAAAGTACAGTACTTGAGTAAATGCACTTTGTTAAAATACACCACTGCTTTTGTTGCAGTTGTCTTGGATGAGACTACGACTCATGATATCTGCCCATTATTTGTATCTGTCTACGAAAATACTCGCATCTCATACTTAAAGGTAGGGTAGGTAATTTTGGAGAAACCAGCTCGAGTGTGCTAGAATTTGAAAATACACAGCCGGAAAAAATCTCCCACTTCCTTACAGAGCCCCTCCTCCAACACACACGAACGCGCACATGACCAATGAGGGCACGAGATAAGTTTGTGCACAGATGGAAGGCTGACAGGCAGGTAGGCCATCCAGTTATTTTAGCCGGGCCGGCTAAAATGATTGGTCGTGCTTTTTACAGCACCACGGCTTCCACAGATGACATTTTTTATGGATTTTTTGTCAAAGCACTTCAGATATTCATTGCTATCGGGATGTTAAGAGCATTCCATGGAATATAACAAAAAGTGTATCTCGAGCCGGTTTCTCAAACTTACCTACCCCACCTTTAAGTAAAAGTAATAATAGAGCAGCGTATGGGAATAAGTCAGTTTAGTAAGGCACAAAATGTTTATTTAAAAAAGTCACACTTAACTATGTAATTATTAAAAAGTAATTAAATAGTAGTCACACATTTTTTTTAAAGTTACAGTTGAAAAAAGTCAGTATAGTTTGTCTTGAAAATAAGTAAAGTATATAAAACACATTTCATAAAGTACGTCAGATCAAATGTAATAAAGGTTGTATGTCATCTTTTTGAAATGTTATACTATGACTTTTTTATATTGCTCTACATGCTGTACTATGACTATTTACATCATATTTTAAACAAACTATACTACAGCTTTATTTCTAACAACTATACCATTACTTTTTATTCCAGAAATTCCATACTATGACTTTTAAAAGTTTTTCACAACATATTAGATAGTGTTTATTTATAATTTAATAATAAATAAACACAGGAATAAATAATGATATATATATATATATAATAATAATAAATGTAATAATTATAATAAAATGTATTTATTACAGTGTTTATTTATTATTTGTATATATTCCTGCATTTATTTATTCCTATATTATTTTGTTAATTTATTCCTGTATTATTTTGTTAATTTATTCCTGTATTATTTTGTTAATTTATTCCTGTATTATTTTGTTAATTTATTCCTGCATCTATTTGATCATGCCTATGTGAGATTTGAACCCTATTTTGTTTGTTTAGTGGACCTACAGTCCTTGACTCTAACCTCTAAGCTATTTTGTCTCACAAACTTTCTCTGTGAATCCCAGACTGAAGTATGTATCATTCACTAGAAAGTGCTAGGGCTGTGTTTTGAGGCTCAAACATGAGATGGAGATGTCAAATATGCAAAGGAACACCCAACTCTCTCAGGTCAAATGGCTCAGGGTGATAAGAATGACGGTTGGTAGACCAGAGGTTGTTGGTTCCAGTCTCGTGCGTTCCAGATAGATTTTGAGGTGTCTTCACCTTAAGGAAGAAGTCAAATACAAGTAAAAGCCGGGACTTCTGATCTGCTCCAATGGCTCACAGAGATAGAACAATGGTTGGTAGACCAGAGGTTGTTGGTTCCAGTCTTGTGCGTACCAATAGTATACTAACTATTGGACAGTATCCAATAGGATACCAATAGGAAACTTCCTTAATTTCCAGATAGATTTTGGAAAAAGACAGTTAGTATCCAATAGGAAACTTCCTTAATTAAGGAAGTTAGTATCCTATTCACTCCCCCCCGAAGGGGGGGAGTGAATAGGATACTAGCTTTTGGACAGTATCCTATTCACTCCCCCCCGAAGGGGGGGAGTGAATAGGATACTAACTTTCTTAATTACTAACTTTCTTAATTACTAACTTTCTTAATTAAGGAAGTTAAGGAAGTTAGTATCCTATTGGTATCCTATTCACTCCCCCCCTTCGGGGGGGAGTGAATAGGATACTAACTGTCTTAAACACGCACACGCACAAAATCTATCTGGAAATTAAAGAAGTTTCCTATTGGATACTGTCCAATAGTTAGTATCCTATTGGTACGCACAAGACTGGAACCAACAACCTCTGGTCTACCAACCATTGTTCTATCTCTGTCAACCATTGGAGCAGATGAGAAGTCCTGGCTTTTACTTGTATTTGACTTCTTCCTTAAGGTGAAGACACCTTAAAATCTATCTGGAACGCACGAGACTGGAACCAACAACCTCTGGTCTACCAACCGTCATTCTTATCACCCTGAGCCATTTGACCTGAGAGAGTTGTATGTTCCTTTGCATATTTGACATCTCCATCTCATGTTTGAGCCTCAAAACACACAGCCCTAGCACTTTCTAGTGAATGATACATACTTCAGTCTGGGATTCACCGAGAAAGTTTGTGAGACAAAATAGCTTAGAGGTTAGAGTCAAGGACTGTAGGTCCACTAAACAAACAAAATAGGGTTCAAATCTCACATAGGCATGATCAAATAGATGCAGGAATAAATTAACAAAAATAATACAGGAATAAATTAACAAAATAATACAGGAATAATTTAACTAAATAATACAGGAATAAAATAATATAGGAATAAATTATCTCTATCTCTGAGCCATCTGACCTGAGAGGTAAACCTTTCATTTGGTAAACTCATTACATAGTCATAGTGCAAACGGTCAGAGTTAAGTATCTAGAAAAGAAAGGACTAATTTATTTTATCCCCTAATTGAGCTCAATGTTTACATTACCCGTATTCCTCTATGCTTTTCTAGTTGGTCACCTATCCTATCTTGGAACTCTATTTATTCTACTTTTCACCTATTTTGTTGGCCTATTTTATTTCTCTATTTTGGACCTATTGTATTAGCTACCTTGCCTCTAGTAGACTCGAAACCCGCACATGCTGCAGCGGATCTGTTCCCAGCACTTAGGCGCCTCATTGCGCACTAAGTCACCTAAGTGCCGAGAACAAACCCAAATAGCCACCAACTCATGTACATGAAGACCTGTTCTCTGGGCGCATTTATCCTCTTCATTTTGAGTAAAGCTCTTTAAAAATCACTGAGCATCGCTAGGATTCGAACACACAACCTCAGGTCTTCTGACCCGTCACATATCCCTCTGCGCCATCTGTCCTGAGTCATCATTGTTTCGTAGAGCTTATGACCTGCTCATTTGGCTTTTTGGACCTTAAAGATGACTGCACCTGAAAAGCCTTGAACCCACAACCTGCAGTCTCACTTTACTTTTCAGACATTTATTTTACATTTTTTAAATATTCTTCACCTCGGGAAACAAATATTTTGTCAAAAACAATCAAGGCGTACAGAAGGGTTGATGTTATCTCAGGGACTGATGGCTGTTGTACTTCTGCATGTGGTTATTATTCCCCTTTTCATTATTTATAGAATACTTTAAATGTATTTTTTCTGCATCAATTTTCTGAATAAACATATTTTCTCAGTTTGGTATCTTTTGGACTCTTTCTCCAGTGGCGACTGGTCATTAGGGGCAGGTGGGGCGCAGCCCCACCTAGTGTCAGCAGAAAGTATTACAAATAATGATTACAAAAAATGCAAAACATTTAAAAAAAAAAAAAATTAAATATATTTTAAGATCATGTTTAATCATCTGATTCGTCTGTACATTGCTGTTTTAGTCTGTGTTCTTCTAATTAGTGTCTACAGTGTGTGCCTATTGAGCCGTTTTGAGCCATGTGGGACAAAACCTGATCATGCCCCTCCCTCTCACTGTCTAAGTGAACGGTGACTGTAAAAACTACACTGCGCATGCTCAGAGTATTTTCCTATTTAATGTGTGTGGCAAAAAAATAATGACCATAGGGGCACTGAGCTGCCATCCCCACCATACGCCATCTCACATAATTCAGAGCTGATTGGCTGTAAGTACGTGTGCCGCGAAGTGTGGTGTGTGAAGAGGAGACGAGAGAGCTGCAGTGACGCGTCCTAAAACCAGGAAGTAAGCTGCGCATGGCTTCCCTCGACAAAAAAGCAATGAGATTTCTCCATAGGATTTTAGAAAATAGCTCGAAATAAGATCTGTGGGAAACGTACCTGTTAGATAAATGCACGTTTTGTTCAGCCGGATAATATCCACATGTCTACCCTACTTTTATAATTTTTGAATCATAAATCTATCGATTAGATTTATGATAGACTTTTGAAACTACAAGAAGATAAGGAGGACTTTTACAAAAAAGTAATAGAAATTTTTGTCCAGGAGGATAGGCAAATGGACTTCATCTTCAAGTCAAGGTAAGACCGCAATTTTATTGAAAATGGGATCTTACTAAGAGAGAACAATTCAATATTTAAATGATAAAATTACATTTTTTGGGTATCCTTTTGTTGAACTGTCTGTTTAAAATTAATCGAAGCATCAGACAAAAAAAGCTTTTGAAAATAATATTATATTTTGGTTTAGGTCAAAATATAATATTTGTAAACCTGAAGAGTCAGTGCCAGTGCCTCACCAGCCATGAACCTCACTGCACGTCACTGCAGAAGCTTATATATAGACATCTAAGTTTTTTGTGCCCCACCACTTTTGTACATATAAAAACGCCACTGTCTTTCTCAGACAAGACTGAAACAATTATTCAATCAGTCGAAAATCATTCCCCTAATATCTTTATTACATTCATGGTCAATATCAAAAATAATCACATTTAGAGCATGAAGAGAATTCTAGTTCTTGTAAACAATAAATATGTTTATATTTAGTCCAGTAACATTTTTCAGCCGTCAATACACTCATTTGTTCCCATTTACCCATCTTCTTTTAATTAAACTGAAACTACTAACAAAAGGAATGCGTTCTATAAAATGCAACGAGGGATTTTGTCATTTAACAGGGTCAATTATTTACAAAAACAACTCGCTACAAGAGAACACCACATGTTTCTATATCTGGATTCTGCCTGACGACGGGTTTTATTTGACTGGTATAGGGCTGGCCTCTGAACTGCATTTAGACATTTCAAAAAGGAATGATATAATCCGTCTTTATTCATTTGAGTCAAAAGAAGATAACTTCAGCAGCCCTCTGTGTGAGAGATCAGTCCAACAGTGTGAATGCGGCCGTAAGTGCATCAAAGTAAAGGTGCTCAAAGTGTCAGTATGACATCAACTGTACATGCACACATGTCCCTCATCGTTCAAGCGTTCCCATCAGAGGCTCCATGGCAGCGAGGAAGCAGGCTTCGAACTCCTGATCTGAGAAGCGAGCCACGGACTGCCGAGCGTTGCTTCTGATGAGCAGCCGAGCGGCAGGGGGCAGAGCCAGGATCCTCTCCACGGCCTCCGCGTAACTGTCCTCGTCGTCCGCCAGGAAGCCCGTCTGGCCCCCCTCGAAAGGAACCACAATGTCCATCTTGGGACCACCGGACTTGTGCGCCAGAATGATCTTCCCTGCTGCCATACACTCCACAATGCCTGGGGGGGGGAAAGGAAGAGCAGAGATTATGAATTGCACAAGTGCATATTGCATTTAGGGTTATTGCAATTAACACAGATTAATTACCTATTCCAAAGTGTTCGTTCCACATGGTGTGCAGTCCGATGGTGGCGTCTCCCAGCTCTCTCTTCAGCTCCTCGAAGGGGACGTTCAGTTTAAACTCCACCCGGTCGGCCACACCCAGCTCCTGGCAGAGGCCCCTCAACATGAGCACCCGGTCCTCGTCCTCCTGGTTCCTGCACCCACCGATCAGCACCAGCTTCAGCGGCCCCGCCCTCCCCCGGTCCAGCACCTTCTTGAAGGCTCTGATCTGCAGCCGGTGGTCCTTCTCCGGCCTGAACTGCCCGATGGAGACGATGGAGTGGCACTTCCTGTCCCCGTCCTCCTCCAGCGGGACGTCCAGGAAGGCGCTGACGTCGCAGGGCGGGTAAACCACGCTTGTGCGGTTGGGGGCGCGCCACAGGGACAGGATGTGGTCCAAGGTCCAGGAGGAGTTGACCATCACCAGGTCGCTGCAGGAGCCCGCCATGCCGTAGAGCAGGGCCAGCAGGCAGTAGTACACCACCTTGAAGGCACTCAGGAACAGGCTGTTTGAGACGTAGTCAGCGTTGTTGAACCTGGGGTAATATTACAAGAGGGGTTAGCAAGCAGGTTCCGCATGTCTCTTAACTAAATGCCTCAAGCTAATGAATTGGAAAGTGAGAAAGCCCCTTAAATGAATGGCTTTCTTACTCTGTTAAGTATGGAAGAAGCTGCCTACTCCCTCTCATATTTTGCAGAATATTTAACTTCTTCATCTAGAGTTCAAAACACACAGAGAGAAACGTGAAGTGATCACCTGGGGTTCCTCTCTCTCACTACAGACAGCATGTCAGTGCTGATGGTGGGGTAGTGGACGTAGCTCCCCACGCTGCAGCCCCCCAGGTAGCGGAACAGAGGCAGAGTGAAGGCGAAGCCCATGGAGTCGATGTAAAGGTCCGGGACGAACTCCATCAGCGCCTCCCATCCCAGGAAGATGGAGCCCACGCTCTGCCCCAGCAGCGTGAAGTGAGGGAACAGGCTGGGCTCCACCAGCAGCCGGTGCCTCAGGAACACAAACTGCACCGGGCGGGGGAGCACGATGTTGAATCTCCGCCTCGCCCCGTCCAGGATCTGCTGACCCGTGACACCCAGGTCCCCCGTGTACACCACGAAGTTGATGTCCACATACCTGTGATTCAAAGTCTTTATTGTCATATGCACAGTAGCTACAGTGAAATATGTATATATATATATATATATATATATATATATATATATATATATATATATATATATATATATATATATATATATATATATATATACACACAATCAAAACACACATTTATACATATGCACACATTAAGACCTAAATAAAAACAACAATCAATATATACAAAAATGACATGGCAATGACAATGCAACAATGAAACATAATATTTATAAGACATAAAACAATAAGCAAAAAGAAACAGAGATACACTAAAAACTAAAACTAGAAATGATGTATCAGCTTCACCTGCTCTGCAGAGCCCGGATGGCACACCAGAGCACCCTCTCTCCCCCACCACCAGCGTTGCAGTATGGGTGGAAGAAGGCCACGGTGGGACGTCCATCCCTCGCCCGCCGAGCGCTCCTGCTGCTCTGGAGCCAGAAGCGCACGGCCAGCACCAGCAGGACCGCGACCGCGACCAGCAGCAGCACCAGAACCACCAGCGGCAGCAGCAGCTTCCACAGCAGCCTGACACACACACACAGGGACAATACACCTTATTTATATGGAACTTTTCAAAGTGAAAGTTTCAATGGGATTCTAGGAGAAGGGTGGCGTGTAAAGCTAGTTAATTAAAACAGCTCATAAAATAAAAGCAATCACATTGAGGCTTTTTAAAGATGTGACTTCTCAATCACAATTGAAGACCTGATTAGTAAATACCCTTGTCTTTAAAGGCTGTGAAGATTAAAAGGCCAACATTACAGGCACAATCTGAACTGTTACCAAACTGTGGGAGAATATAAAATAACTATTATTGTGACTTGTGCATTTTTTTTTCAAGAAAGTACTACTTCATTCACGTTATTAGTGAATAAATAGTTAGTGTTCATAGCGCAACAAATGAAGTCATAATAAGTTCAAATGTAAAGGGATATTACCTTCTGCAACATATAACATTAGTTTACTACTATATAAACACCGTTAGACTACTGTACAACAAGAACAACATTAGTCGTAGAAACAGGACAAAACTATAGCATGTAATGTATTTATCTGAAGACTACAAACCAAATAATAAGCCTAATGTCGTCAACATTGTAGCAGTAGCATGGATTGTATTAAAAGCTACCACAACAGCTCTTAACTACACTTTCGAAATTGACAATGAACATCTTATATATACACATTTGAATTGTTAATTTGAATCCTGATGTGTCTTACCTAGTTAATTCGCACAGACAGAGGACCAGCTGATCGTGGCCCGACATCTTGCCAAATGAACAACACATCACCTTCCTGTTCTGAATCCATTCTACTGTCACTGATATCTGTGTGGCGCCCCCTTGTGGCGGGGAAGAGGTACTGCACTGCGTTGATGCAGAGTCATTATTTGGAAGTATTTTCAGTATTTGCCTCTGAAATGCAGTGAAGTAAAACTGCTCTTAATGTCTTTCATTTTTGTAAAGCACTTTGAATTGCCTTGCTTTCACAGGTGCTATATAAATAAACTTGCCTTGCCTTAAATGTACTTTGTTAATTTCCATCACTGGGATTCTGGTTGAGGTGGGAAGATACAGTGTCATCACTTAAATTATTTTAGTAAAGCTTACTTTGATTTAGGCATCTGTATATCATAGAACAACAACACTTACATATTCCCTCTTTAGGCCATGGTGGCTGATCTATGCCCTCGTTTTTTAAAAGAGTAATGTTTAACTTCTAAATAAATAGTGTACTAATCAATAATGTGTCCCTGGCTGTCCTCATGGTTCTAGTAAACGTCTATCATTTCCAGTCTGTTTCCTGACATCATGAAGACTCTTTTGATTTTGTTTGTTTTAATGAATTTGGACAAACTGCTGAAGACGGCACACTGCACAGAAACACAGTAAGTTGATTTAGTTACATTTACAACAACATGTTTCCTATTCATTTCTAATCTGTGAGGCAACTGAATTCCACAAAGAAAACAGGTTGTGACATATGCAAACATGCCTTGTATGCGTGGTCTCTGAAAGCAGATGACAACGTTTATAAAAGCTTATAAAAATGACACCTATATTCTCACATTGTCAATAATACATTTGAAAACATTGTGAGGTTCTGTATCAGCTGTACTTTACCAATGTCTTGTTTTCTTTTTATTCAGAGATCAAGTTCTATCAATCACCCCAAAAACACAGGAGCAAGTAGACATTTTGAAGAATGTTTCCACTCAATATGAGGTAAGAGTTGGATTTTTCTTCATCTGTGATTTTATTTATCTTCTGTGAATCACCTTGTTTGCCTGATTTCTCCCAGACAGCCTTGTGGCAGCCTGTTTCCCCTCATTATATTAAAGAAGACACTCAGGTCCACCTGTTTGTCCCTGCAAACAGCTCAGAGACTGTCAAGGACCTGCTGCAGAGACACGCCATAACACACGAGTACGTCTCACAAATGATTACATTACATTTCATCCAAGTTGAGCAAGCTGTCTGGAGTTGTTCTTGTGTTTTTTCAGGGTGCTACTGGCGAACCCCAACGAGCTGATTGAAATGCAGACGAGGAACGACTCCGGTGACCCAAGGAGTAGCGTGACCTTCTACGAAAGATATCACAGCCTGGAGGATGTATGCTTTCCATCTTTAAATATCAGATTCTAGCTACATAGCATTTACTTTTTGGTTGATTTTATGCACAAATGTTAATGGATGTTGACATCCAAACACACTGTGTCCATTGTAGATTTATTTCTGGATAAACAGGACTCAACAGGACAACCCTGACACTGTGAAAGTCATTCTCATTGGTTCCTCATTTGAGAAGCGTCCACTCTATGTTCTAAAGGTAATCTGATTAATTACATTATACGCTGCAATGTGAATAAAGTTGTTTTTATAAATATGTATTTAAATGGAGCCTTTCTCTTTCAGTTGTCTGTAAATAACAGGCCGAATAAGAAAGCAATGTGGATAGATTGTGGGATCCATGCCAGAGAGTGGATCTCTCCTGCTTTCTGCTTATGGTTTGTACAATATGTGAGTATATTAAATATAGTAATCATAAAGTGGGAATGTACTGTATTATAGAACAAGTTTTTGTTTTGTTTTATATCACGGTTTCAATGTTGTTTTTTTGCACAGTCTTTGTCATTTTACCAGTTAAACGATGACATTACTAAAATCCTGGACAACATGGATGTCTACATCCTGCCTGTTTTGAACCCTGATGGATACCATTACACATGGACAACAGTAAGAGTCCATGATTTGTACGTTGATAAGTGCTTGGATGGTTGTTAAGGAAGATATTTAAACTGGATTCATTTGCTTTTGTCTCAGAACAGGATGTGGAGGAAGAACCGCTCGACCAACAGGGGCACCAAATGCATCGGGGTCGACCTCAACAGAAACTTTGATGCCAACTGGTGCAGTGAGTAGCTCCTTTTTCATCAACATGATCCATGTTTTAGGAACAATATGTACTTTACAACTGGACTTTGAATGACATCTGAACACACTCTACACTAAAAAGCTTCAGAATATAGATAAGAATACATCTTGAAAGTTTGTTGTGTGTATAAGTGAAGTGCTACTGAAGTGTGAAAGCTTGGTGAAATGTTAGGTGAAGATTTGCAAAGAAGGCATTGTTTAGGAAAACATTTACAGATGCAAATATCCAAAGCTAGTAACACAAAGAAGATGCATTCAAAAACAATGTCTGAGATTGCATATGCGAGGCTCACCTATATATAAACTAAAGTGATTGTGTGTCTTCCAGCGGAGGGAGCCTCTGATCAGCCCTGCACTGAGATCTACTGCGGGGCCTTCCCTGAGTCTGAACCAGAGACGCAGGCCGTGGCCGACTTCCTGCGCAGCCACAAGGACATCGTCCAGATCTACCTCAGCATCCACTCCTACTCTCAGATGCTGCTCTTCCCGTACTCCTGCACCTTAGAGGAAGCAGAGAACCACAGCGAGCTGGTGAGTGGTTACATTTATAGATGAGATCTTTCAACATAAAAGCTCAGTTGCATCTCCAAATGCTAGAAGACACGATAGCTGTCCGCTGTTGCAGTAAACCACATTGCCCTCACATCTTGCCACATGTTGTCACTTGAGGTTGAACACGGAAACTCTTGGTAGTTTTTTCTAAACACGTGTTGTTGTTTTTTGTAAAGCTTGAAATGGTCCAAGAAGCTGCCCAGAAAATCCAAAGATATTACAGAAATATGTACACATATGGTTCTGGAGCAAAGACAATATGTAAGTAGTGCTTTGTTTGAAATCTAAATCAGCTATAGTAAATTCAGTGACTTTCATATGAATGTTGTTGCTCAACAGACCTGGCTCCTGGAGGTTCTGATGATTGGGCGTACAAACTTGGCATCAAATACTCGTTCACATTTGAGCTCCAGGACCGCGGGCGCTATGGCTTCCTCCTTCCACCATCTGACATCTCCAAAGCCTGCAACGAAGCTCTGCTCGCTGTGAAGACTATTGCTCTAAAGGTCGTTGACAAAACAAAAGCTCCTGCTTAAACCGTCCGAGCAGTAGTGACATCAGTGACTTAATATAATGGGATAAAAACGGTATCAAAAACAGAATGAACTGATTTAAGTTACAGATGAAGGGAGCAATAAGGTAACAGTGTGTCACCCAAACTGCGTCATCATGCATATGTCAGATGATAATAGTGATGAAGGCTATTGTTGTGTTATTGGTGGTGTTAATAATATATGATCTCAACCACACCCCTGTCAGATGTGATGCAAAGGAATACAGCAGCTGTGCATTAAAAATAAATGAAAATAAATAACATGCTGTGTGAATGTTTAATTTTTGACTACTTTCAGTATGGCAGTACCCTATCATATGTATATTGTAAAGTCATGGCATTTATAAAATAAAGTTGGAGTTCTTATTGTGTTTTAAAGCAGAATGTATTATCAGGAAATAGCAGCAACCAGAGCCTATCAACATATATGTCTTTTTAATACTTTTTTGATATTTTTTTAGGCACAGTGTCCCTCAATTTATTTTTGAATGACCTCAGTCTGTGTTTCCTAAGTGTTAAGTTATGATCTTGGCTTTAAAGTCTCACATGCCCCCAATTTCATCCTCCTAATGGACTCTAATGGCACTCAGAATTTGACAAATGCTCGTTGGATCTTTCAGGACCAGAATCAGCAGTAAGTGTTGGCACTAATGGCAGCAGCCGGAGCGCCGCCGCAGGACCAAAACATCATAAATCACAAAATGGAGCCAGATCACATCTAAAAAGCCCAGCTGAAAGTTGGTCTTTACAGATTAACGAAAAATGTAATATGTCTAACACAAAATGATCATTCAAGGAATAAAAACACGTGATACATATGTGCATAAAGATTTATTTTTTGTTGAAAATAAGTGTTTCTCACATTGAACCACTAACATATCTGATGTGAATAAGATAAATGAACTATACATTGACACTGATGTTAACTTCAAACAATGTAACAAGGCATTTGTATCATCCGTAATGTGTAAAGACAAGTGTTCTGTACATTTCAATGATTGTTTGATCAGTTGATTGATACTGTCTCTTTGGGTGAGATTGATTGTACTCAATGTCAGTGTGACAGTACAACGTCATGCACACATCATCCACAGTATGTCAACGTTGGGATCTTCTGAAGGAATTTCCCCAAAGGTGCGGTTTCCTTTTTTTAAACATTCGTTCATCTATTCATTCATTCGTAGTTAGGCGGGCCTGCTGTGAATTTAACTTCCAGTACGACTCCTTCACAGTGGTGTTACTTGACATCCGTTCAGATACTTGGTGATTGGTCTTGCACTGTCAAATAAGTCCCAAAAGTGCAACAAGAAAAACACAAGTAGACGTAAAAGAGGACCAAAAACACTGCCATCCCTGCTCGGACCTATGGCTGGTTTCCCAAGAAGCATTTCGCACTATGATCCTCTTTGGCGATGGCTTGTTAAGATGGTTTTGGCACCGTGCTGCCTTTGGGAAACCCCGAACATTTACTCCTGCTAACAAGGATGGCGAACGTGGGAGGTCAAGTGTTGTTATATTCTTTCAAGGGAAAAATCCACCCTGTGTCCGAGGAGTGATGTATGTCAAAATGTTGCCACCTTTGTCTACTTCTGCTACAGAAAGCAGGTAGAAACCGTTTTTAGAAGGAGTGGATTTTTCCTTTAAACCCCTCCATCTTTAATCTATCTAACATGAATTCATTTGCATTCTAATTTTCTACCACCCCTCCCATCCATCACCTCCGACAGGCTGCTACTGCACGCTGCAGGCGGGGCAGCACGCCTCCCTCCGGTCCGGCAGGGGGCAGAAGTCCATCTGCCTCACAATCTCAGCGAACAGCTCGTCCACCATGGTCTTGCTCTTGGCCGACGTCTCCATGAAGGGGCAGCCCCAGTCCTCTGCCAGCGCCTGGCCCTCGCTGGGGGACACCTCCCTCTCCTCCTCCAGGTCCACCTTGTTCCCCACCAGCACCACCGGCACCTGCTGATACCTGGAGATGAGAGAGGAACATCAGAGGAGTGTGCATGTGAAATTCCCTGCTTTGTTGCAAGCTGAATTTCTTAAGGGTGACTAAACTCAGTGACATCATGAGTGTATGTGTGTGTGAGTGTGAGTGTGAGTGTGAGTGTGAGTGTGAGTGTGAGTGTGAGTGTGAGTGTGAGTGTGTGTGTGAGTGTGTGTGTGTGTGTGTGCATTGTTGGCCTACATACTGTATTTGTTAGATGCTGAAACAATAAGGGGTTTGAACAATGCACAATGGAGCAAGAGGAGAGGGATACACAGCTACATTCAGCTCAGCTTCCCAGGAGGCCTGCATCCCCCCCCGGTGTCTGATATCAGTGGGCGGTCCCATTAGCAAACTGTCACAGCGGAAAGAAATAACTGCAATGCTCTATTTACTCCTGGATGCATCATACATGTGTTTAAAGACTTCCAAATTCTTTAAAATGATTGTAAGTTCTCCACTTTTCCCAAAACGCACTTAGCATTTCTTGAAAAGCTTTGTTCCCGCAGTGTGTGGCCGACCATCCCACTCATCTCCATCCACCAAAACCAGGCTGCGGAGAGTAATGGTATAGCTTATTGAATAATTGAATGAGGCTAATGTGCTGCTCTCTGAACATAGGCCTTGTAACTTGGAAATAACTATTTTCTACTTTACATAAGCTCCTTGTTTCTCATCATTAAAAAACTCTACAGTATCATTGTAAGAGCATGTCCAGAAGGCACATACTTTACGGCACATGTGACCGGACTTTTTCCAATGTTTAATACCAACATGGGGATTGCACATACAAAATAAAAGTAGCAACTACCAATGCAGATACAGTTAGTTTTATAGGAGGAGGTTCTCATATATAGATTTAAAACAGGGACTATTTCTTCAGTAGAAGAAAGTAGTTCCAATGATTGGTTATCCATGTTGCTTCTGGAAACAAAAATACTCTGTCTCACAAACATGTTAGGTTGTTCAGGTACTAGATATTTCATTTGACTTAGAAGCCCTTCATGTTTCCTCAAATTAAATAACTACAGCATGTCAATTACAGAGAGGATATATTCTCACTACAGGTAATGGTGCAGGCCAGCTAATAGCCCCGACCATCAGTCATCCCTAAGTGCATTCAGAGCGCGGCGTATTGATCTGATGGTGCTATCGAGAAATGAGCTCTTATCTACAAATTGGTGGCCTGCTGCCACACTGCTCAGCAGGGAGAAGAGCTGAGGCGTGGAAAAGAGCTGGCGAACGTCTCACTGAGCCAACGAGGGGCAGAGAGAGGGAGGACATGAAAGAGAGAGGTGGAGGACATCTGAGCACCTGCTGAAGTGTCCTCGAGCAAAACAGAGGCTCTCCTAGCTTCAAGGGGGCTGATCTGTGCCTGAGCTTGACCTCTGACCTCCCTCAGGGATTCACATGACTGAAAAAGCATCTTGCAAAATAAATAAATAATTACAAATAAGGTCAGGGAGTTCTTCCTAATTGGTTACCAGACATGCTTTAAGACTGTCAAGGAGAGAAAACTCGCTCAGAAAGAATTCAAATGTCAACAGCTTCCCTGGAGCTTGACATTTCCCCACCGCACTGTACAACACACACACATACATACACACACACTCAGCAGCTGACCTCAGCAGGACGAGCATCTCGCATGGCCGTGGATAAGATGGAGTCTAGAGGGTGTGAAGTGTGAACAAGGAGAGCACCATGCAGACAAATGCAATGTGACAGCCTCGCAGGAGAAACTCTATATATAACTAAAAAGAGACAGGGAGAGCCAGCTTCTCGGTGGGGAGTTTTTACAGAGTGTTTGTTGCAGCATCAAACTGCACCTCCCTCCTCGTCAGAATAACTGAAACTGATCAACCCAGCCCGAAGGAAAGTGAGCCCGCGGGGATTTGGAGGCTGATATCATGCGTGATTGAAGAATATGTCACTCAATGTCTGACATTAAACACGGAGTTTCTTGCTAATGTTTTCATCTGCTTTCTACATTTCAGAAGGATATATACTTTTTACTCCACTTCATCTATTTGCAGATTAAAGTTTTAAATAAAAACCCATAATGAGATCGTGAATGTGATGCATCGTTATAGATTAACTGACTCAACTGTACATAAAGTCAATCAAATTAGCTCAACCGCGACCAGCTACAATATTTAAATACTGTTTATATTGCAATGCATTAGAAAAGCCAATAAGATAACACTGACAGAGGCCATTCTTAAAAATTAGGGCTTTTCTTTTGAAGTAAACCAGGCTGGTTTATTGCATGCAACTTCACTGTTTTGATATGGTATCACTCTACCCACAGTTTTTAAACAGATGTATCTCCATGACACCGTCAAAATGAAATATGTTCTCAGGGTTTTTGGGGGAGATACGGTTGCCAAGTACTTTTTTTAACATACTGAATACAAAGCAGGAGAAAATAACAAACACTGCTAACATGTTTTGGGTCCAGCACAAGAGTTGGCAGCTATGCATCCTGGGAATTATCAGCACAGTTGGAATGTGTTTGGATTGCTTGGCTGTACGAATACGCAGCTTTTTGTTTTGCGGTGGGAGCGGAGTCACGTTGCATTCAGGGAACAGGCAACAGCAGGTGGTTGACAGGAAATGAAATTATAAGGAGATATGGATGTTCAAAATCTGTATCCATTTCCACAATATTGCTGTGAAAACACTCTTTCAGAACGATACTCCGGAGAGTGTTATCAGCCGCGGGGCTTTTCACAGGAAAGTGCTGATGTCCACTTTTTCTGAGGCCATCATCTGTATGTCAATTTGTAAAAAGCTGCTGCTGCATCCTCATTAGTGGAAGCAGAAACCTAAATAACTAGCTGATATACATTTGGCCTTTAAAGCACAGTTAACACCCTTTGCCTCTGCAGGGTGTTATTCCTACTGTGGTGGAAAAAGGCACACAAAGAGAATCAGTGTTTATACCTCACAAAAAAGATGGATTCGTACATTTTCCACTTAGCTTTAGGGTACAACAGCCTTATTACTGCTACCTGCTGTGCTAAGTAGAAGAAGTGACTTCACTTACTCGTTTTTACAAGCCCCACAGCGCCGGCAAACACATGCAAATTACAGAAAACACATGCCTTTCCAACCTGAAGGCCTCCAACCCTCTTTGCTCTCTGCATCTGCTGTTAATTAGCAGTTGGAGGAGCCACACTGGGTGACAACCAGCCATGTATCTGCGATTAGGAGGGGACAGAGTATTCACAGAAACCTATAGCGCCTACGCTGAGTTAACTCCCAAAGGGTGTTACTGCTGGAGAACAAAGCTCTCCGTAGCATCCCATACTCGAAGAGGAAACTAAATAACACAACATTCCTGTGATAAACAGACAAACAGATGGAAAACGTCTTCAGATTGTTTCTTTTAAGATGAAACCCCCAAGCTTCATTTCCATCTTTAATGGTGCAGCCCAGCTCCTACAGATCATGTTATTATCTTTACTGAAGATGCCAAGGCAGTAAAGGCAGTATGGGAGTAGAGAAGAAATAATTAGTTTTATTATTCCCGCTGTTCTGTGCAGTTAAGTCAACTCAATAACTCAAAGTGAGACATAAAGAAGTGTACAGAAGTAATAAAGGGGGAGGAAACTTGAATGTTACTAATGCAGCAGATTGCATTCCCAATCCCCCGACAAAAGGCTTTCACAACAGCAGAGTAGCACTGCTGAAATGACTGGACTACAAAGAGAAATGTGTATGAATCCTGCACCACCACTTTAGGTGAAATGTATAAAGTAAGAGGCCGGGAAGAACTACAAACTACCTGAGATTGTTTTTTTTATCTGAGTAGCCATATGACTATTTCGTCACCTATTGCTACTTATCCTGTTGGGTTGCCTTCTGTTGAGGGAATTTCAGTCAGGCTTTTAATGTGAAGGGTCAACACGGAAAGAGTGAAGCTGTAAAGAGCTGCACTGTCTAGAATATTTAAATGTTTTATAAGTAAAAGGCACAACAAGTCAATAGCGAGCTCACAATGCATCGTGGGAAATGTAGGAACTAGAGGCACACTCCACAAGCAGGGGCAGGTTTTTCGGTAACTCGAGCATGCTTTGAGGAGTTTATCAATGGACTACATTGACCAACAACAATGATTGGAAATCCACATAAAAAGGAGCCAAATTCTCCCTTTTAAGGAAAGAAATTCTGAGGTTTGAAGCTGATACAGAAAACACAGCCCCTTCAGTCCTCTAAAAAAGCTTCCTGTTATGCCAAAAACATCCTTTTTTTGGTCGCTCTGTAAACATTCCCATAAGATCTGGAATCACAATCAATCTCACTTCTGTAGCTGAATGTGGGAAATCCCAGATACACTTGAAAGCAATTTAAATGTCCCCCCAAGGGGTCATAAGATAAATCTGATGTGTTGCATGATGATAAGAAAGATAGGAAACATGTTTTTGATGCAAACAGTATCCCTGTTTTGTTCTTTAAAGTGTTATAAGAGAACCTCTTCAGGGCTACAGGGCTGTTGTGAGATATGTTGAAAACACTTTACACCGAGCACTTTACTAAAGCAAGCTGGCTGCTTAACAACTCTTTCCATCCTGATGGCAAACACTAAAAGCCTGAGGTCGGGAAGTTGCTTTGTACCTACACCAAAGTGCCCCCTGGGATACGTAGTTTTGGTCTCTCCACCCTATTCCCACTCAGCGGTGCGTGATGCTCACCTCCTGCTATTAGACACAGCATCAGTGCAGCGTGAACACGCAGCTCCAGAGCTTTGAACGTGCCTCCTCCTCCGAGCAGACGCACAATAAACCTTCACAGGCAAGCCAGGAGATTATTAGATTGTGCGGAGGGCTACACCCAGATGTTGTTTTCACAGATAGCCACCGACATGGGTCTATTTTGTTAGACTGTGAAGTGCTTGAGTCTAAGGGGGGTAAAGTATGTCAGAGAGTGCGTTCTGGCTAAAATATGCATCAGTTATACACATGTGTAATGTAATAGAAACATTATTTGTATACTGTAGAGCAATACTTGTAACGTGCTGGTGGTGTTTTAGCTCCTGTCAGCTGCTCTAACTATTACGCAGAGTGTATTTCCTGACACTGACTGCACCTCCTCGAGTATATAACTCAGCACAATGAAAATGATATGTGGACTCACAACACCTGCACCACAGAGCACATAACATCCCACGTTTTGCCCATGCCCCCTCCCACCTCCTGCATAAGCATTCTGGTTTATTTGTCTCCCTAATGGAGGCCTGATGTCTTCTTGGCTTCCAAGCCAACACAATCCCATTAAGTTCTGGTGAGTGGGCACATACTATATCTCTGTGTGGTGCTTGTTGTTGCTGCTGGCTCAGCAAGAAGTTTGGGAGGAGGGAGGCTGATCTCCTGGAGACAGCTAATGGAGACCAGGAGCTGATTGTGTGGCTTGTTTCATTACAAAATAAATGTCTGCATACGTTTAAAGAACAACAAAGCCTATTCCTATATAAACTGGTAGAGATTTAGCATGAATGCCTTTGCACTGTCCCATTGCACGCTCAGAAATGAGACACTAATGCAATGAAAACATAGAGTAATAATCTCTACTTCAGACGCAGAGCAGTGTGAAATAAAAGTATGAAATATTGATGGATATACACTTGAGGATGGTTGCTGCGGTGTGGGCAGCTGCATCGGGGTGGCGGCTAGCGACTAGAGGCGGAACAACACAGTTTTATTCTTCGTTATATTTCTCCTTTCAAAAGGAGTTCCCTCACGCACTCGTCCCCGCTGTGTTTCTGTCAGCAGTGTCGCTCTCCTGCTTCCTGTGACGTCTGGGCCACAGGAGCACTCAGTTCACTGTGGGGGGTGTGGAGGTGAAAAGCACTGCACCAAACTATGCAGGTTAAATTATAGATTACTATAACACAACATGCAGATGGATAATTGTGTTTCTGTCCGTTTTACTGATGAAAAGCTGGAGGAATAGGAGGAACACAGCATGTGAGATAGGAAAAATAAATCCTAAAACACAGGATGGCTCTGTCTACTCTGTGACAACCAACCCTAAAGGATATTTGTTTACAATTTGGTCATATTTCTTGTTGGACCAGTGTATTCCCAGAGGTAGAAGTCCAGCACATAGACAACTGTGCAGTTTGGAGGGAGTCAGGCTGATTCCAGGCTTTTTGCTAAGCTAACCATCTCCTAGCTGCACCTTCACAATAAACAGACACTCCTATTTCTTTAAATGTCTTATCCAAACTGTCTGTTGTAAATGTCCATTATCACAATTTAAAGGCTGTCTAGGAAATAGGAAATGTAGCCCTTTTAATTATTACACTTCATTTTTTGGAGGGTTTAATTGTAAATATGCTCGCCTTCATTTTGACAGATGAGGAGAAAATAAACCAGGGATGATATCTGCAAAAATGTTTTTAAACTTTAAAGGGGAAATTATTGACATGACACCAAACCGGTTTCAAACAATCTCTTCAATTCCTTCATAATGTTTAGATTTAGCTGATTAAAACACAAATAGATTCCTCTCTTGCACTGTGGTCTGGCTATGTCCTTTAAGGGAAACCATAAGACCATAAGACCGATATGTGACCACTAAAAGGAAATATCCCAGTTTTTCTTTCGCTCTTTCTCTCCCTGCCGAGGATGAGCTCAGTGGATTTGTTGAGTAATGGTCTGAACTGATCAAAGCCATCCAGAGTGAGTCATGTGAGAGAGACAGAGGATATCAATCCCAGGGGGAGTTCAGCGGGTTGATGTATGACAGGTGAGCCGCAGCTGGGCCTCTTATGGGGAACATATGAGCTGCAGCTTCTCACGCAGCGCTGGAGGGGATCCAGACACAAGAGGAAGAGGAGGGATGATATTTTGGCATGTTTCCTGGGCCTGATTGTAAAAATAATCTTACATTTTGGCATGGGAACATTTAGATCTTTTAAGGGCCCTTGGGAGAATCCTTGGGGTTCTCCATGATGAGAATTGTATTCCACTATAAATAAAAAGGATGACAATTACATTCCTATTCCTATTCCACTAACACAACCAACTTTTGGTGTCCATTCCCCCACCAGGATGTGACCATTTAAAGGGACCTTAATAGGATAGCATCATCCCTATTGCAACAGGACTTTATATAAGGAGTGTCTCACCTTTTCACCCTGATGATCTGGTCTCTCATGGGCTTGATGTCCTGGAAACTTTGCTGGTTGACCAGACTGTAGACCAGGATGAAGCCTTGTCCGTTCCTGATGTAAAGGTCCCTCATGGAGGCGAACTGCTCGGTGCCGGCTGTGTCCAGGATCTCCAGCACCGACGGAGAAGAGTCCACCTCGATCTCCTTCCTGTAGAAATCTTCAATGGTCGGGTCGTACTTCTCTATAAATGTCCCGGTGACAAACTGCACCGTGAGGGCGGACTTCCCCACCCCACCGCTGCCGAGCACCACCACCTTATACTCCCGCATCCTGTGGACCTAAACCCCGCATGCAGAGAATAAAGTGTACAGCAGCGGATAAAAGAAACGCATCCCCACGCACAGCAGTCTAGACTCACACCACAGCCATGACACAGGAACAGCGCGCAGAGAAGGAGACAGAGGAGGAGATGCTGCTGCAGAGACAGGCGGGATGCTGGAGCATTTAGCCCAGAGAGGAGCAGCCTCTACTGAAATATTCCCACGCTATCTTGCAGGGATTCCAGTGGCATCCATAATGCAATAAGGCGTCGGTGTGGTAAAAATAAGATTGGCTATTATTAGCAACAACTAGACGGCACATCTTCTTATGTGCAAAACAATAGGCGAACAGTATGTCTGTGCACACTCAGTGGGGTACAGTACCGTTAAAGGCGAAGAGCCTATTTATCCTTAAGGAGGCTCCAGAGCTGCTGGGAATCCACGCCTCTGGAGTCGGTGCAGCCACTGGATGATGTTACTATTTCCTGGAAAATATGGGGGGTGATTAGTGCCACATAGAGACAGTGGAAGAATAGAAATGACAAAGATATAAGAGAAGCTTGTGATAATGGAAATGAAACTGATACTGAAGCTGTGTTACTTAATCATATTGTTATTTAAACTGTCAGAGGAAGTTGATTGTAAGCAAACTGTTATTAGCCCTCATTTTGGAATTACACTATATCAGTGCATATTCAATTTAATACACATCAATGGTGCAAATAAACATAGTTATTGTTGAAGTGTGGTTAAGTTTAGACTAATAAAAGGTGAACAATTCAACATTTAGTTTTTGTAGAAACATGGATGCTGGTCCAATGCCACAGACTTTATAACATCACATCATAGGGTCACCAAAGGGCTTAAAATATGGGTTTTTGGCATTTTCTAAATGACTGATACTGACACTATAGTCAATGAACCAATTACAGACAATTAAAAAGGTAATATGGACATAGAAGGCAATAACATTAGACACGTTGGAAATGAAAAATAAATGTGCCTGGGTTTATAAATAGTATTTTTTAAAGATAATTCTAAGATTGAAATGTAAAAGATGGAACTGATTCTGCAAGTCTGAGGGAAACTGGGTTCACCTACCACAGGAGATGCTCCTCACACTCAGCAAAGTGTTTGGTATACACTGCAAACATAAAAATGTTGCCAACACATCAGAATACAATTTATATTCACATAAATATACTCACCAAAGTCTTCGGTTTGTTTTTTTCTTCACCATCAATACTAATCCATTAAAGCAGTAGTATTGTTAACCCTTCATATGTAAATGTATTTTTCCCTGCAAACAAGCTCCACTGCAGCAACAGGAAATGACAAAGAAACAAATTAAGTTTGTTTGTCCCAGAGCCTTATCATAATGTTCATCATGTGTGGTGAAAGCATAACAGCGGACAGCTTGGAGCCACTTCTATGAAAGCAGCATTAAAACACTGACCAGATATTGGCCTCACAACCCTACATGTGATCTGCTTACTTTAAAAATCGTTCCTGCAAATAAAAAGGGTGCTTCAAGATCTTTGCACGACACAAATTAAGGATTGGGACACAACATTTCTTTGATTTTCTTTATTTCTTTCTTTCAATAGATTTTACACTATCTTGCTGGAACCAAAGAAACATTTGACTATAGAAACATAAAAGTAGCACAAAATATATGCAAAAAAAAGAATACATTTAAAAATGATTACATTGAAACTATAAATCCGATGAGGGTCTTTTTGTCAATTTGTCTTTACTTTGTTGGGGGGGGTAGTGTGCAACAAAGGATGGCACAGGAAGTCACAGTGTCTAACCTGCAGTCTCCAGTGTACCGCCCTCTGCCGGCTAAAGCTGTCAATCACATCTCCAAACAGGAACATCTCAGTACAGATTTTAGAGAGCAGAAGAACACAGACGACTGTTCTCTGTGTTGCAGTTTCCCCTGCTTTTGGCCTTGCGATGCGCACATTAAAACCTTAAGATGGTGGATATAAAGTATTTCAAGTGAAACCGAGAAGGGATTTCGAGATCAAGTCTCTTTTAATGTAATAAGAGCTATTCAAAACATAAAACCTTAAGCACGATGGACTCAAGATAAGGCAAAGTGTTTGGATAAGCGGAGTCTGCTCAGTTGACAAACATTTTCTTTTTTTCCATCAGTCAATCATTGCCAACACATTTCAAATAAAAAGAACATTACAGCTCAAGATGATTCCTGGGTCACCAAATGAGGACATGTTTGTGTACAGACTTATTTTTTTCACTAGAAACATTCAGTACGTAATCGTTTTAGTAAGAAAAGAAAAGATTGTTTTCTCATGCAACATGTGGAGTTAAAAGTGATTTACCGATGGAGTCTGCTTTTGATTGATAAACAGGTTGACTGCAGAGTGAAGGACTGTCTCAGCCCCTTCAAAAGGAAATGAAAAACAGATCACATCTTTAAACAATATGAAAAGTGCAATCCTTAACAACAAATAAAAAGGTCTCAGTGTGGAACCGTAAGGTCCTTTGTCGGGGGGAAAGTTGTACATCTTAATTTATAGATTATTTAGTTCTTATATATATATATTTATATATAATCTATGTAACATTGATGACTTTAAATCTATGTAAGTGTTACAGTCACAGCACTATACAGGCCGTCCTTTGCTAATGAAAATATTAGGTCGTAATCTCAGTGAAGAATAAGAAATGTTCATATCTTCTTTACAATCTACCTTGTGTACAGTGTTCTAGCAAAAAAGAAACAAAAATCAACTTAACGATGTCATTTACAAAAATACCCAACTTTAGTAATTGCAACATTTGGTTGCCACAGCAACAACTTAATATTGTTATGAAATACTATTATACTAGAGTGAAAAGTACATCTTTTTTGAAATTTTCTTCTCTTTTTTTTGGTAAAATGTCATCTATACAATAAACATTTTTTTTTCCAACAACACAAGCAACTCTATAACTATGCTCATTACTGCAACCCGTGATCTCTTTATCATGAGAAGGCAAGAAAGATCAAGTAGCTTCCTATTGGTGGCTTGACTTTTAAGCCCCACCCCTCTCGGCTTCTCATTGGCTGACCTCACAGGTTAGACCTTGAAATTACCAACCGTGCAGAACGTAGCACAGCTCAATAAATTACATTCATTTCAAAATAGTTAACAACATTGTTTTCGACTAAAATTTGACCAAGAGTAACATAAGATAAATTACAACAAAATAAAAACTTTTACCACCTTCCACAAATATTACATACAAATAAGTGGAGACAATCAAGAGTGGAGGAAATAAAAAAAAAACAAGAGTGAAGCACTCTTTAGAAAGGTGTGATCGTGGATTGTCAATGTTAATCGAGCACCATGAAATTACATCAGAGTTTTTGAAATATGGGAAATAAGATTTAGTATGAGTTAAAACACATTATTTAAAGTATTAATGAGAGGGTTGCTCTAAAAATGATAACATATTGGCTAAAAACTAATGATTGTTCTGGGTGGAGGTGAAGATGGTGGGGGGGTGTTAAAAAATACCTTGATAGTAGACACAACACAAATCTTTAAATAACTTTGAATACATTTCTAGAACCATGAATATAAACTCTCAAAATAAGAGACACTTTACATACATTACACAGTTTACAATACATTTTTTTTCGCACTCACGTTCCTCATGTAAACTACTCAAACCATGGTAAGAAACGATGGTACACTGTGAAAGTCACCAAACATTCTACAAAGCTATTTTTGATTTGTCGTTTCCTTAACTTATTTTGTTTCCATAAAGTCACTTGTGATGTCAATGAACGGTTACTAGGGGTTTTTCTAGTAACCTTTTTCCGAAATGTGATGTCTTCCCCGAAAAAGTCCTCCTGACAGCCGGTGTGTCGTGTCCTTGACTTCTCCCTCTGAATGAATGTGTTGTTGATGAGCATTTTTTAGGCACTTCTACAGTTTTTTTCTAAAATGGAACAGGATTATCGGTGATAGTAGGGTTGGACAGGACAACCGACGGTCACAGATAGCCCTCCAGTCGTAGTTCAAGTCATCTTTTGCTTGACGTGCGTCGTCAAATGCACCGTTTTTTTGTTTAGCACTTAATACCCTCTCCCACCCCCCCAAAAACCTGTCCTCCTGTCACCTGCTAGACCTCGCTTCAAGTCCCAGTCTGCCGGCAGACCATCCGTCTCCAGGTACGAACACACATGCACACACACACACACGCACACACACACACGCACGCACACACACACACACACACACACAAGGCTTGGTATGTCTGGAACGAACCCTAGAGCTTGGTTAAGCCCTTGGCACAGACCCGAGCCTTTAGGCTTTTTTCGGTAATGGCCACGACTGTCTTCTGTCAACACTGTCTTCCCCACAGTCCAGACTGCATGCAGAAATCCGTGCACAATCTATCCCACCACTCCTCCTGAGCACCGGAACAAATAAAGGGTGCGTCGTGAGCAGCTTTCGCAATGGCAAAAGAGAAAAAAAATGTTCAGGGGGGTTTCAAATGTGGCTCTGCTTCTGGCAGGTCGATTCCACCGACCTCTTCAACTTTGGCAAGATGTTTCCGGAGATGAAAAGTTGGCATGGGGAGGGATGGATGAGCTTTATCATGGCATCTTAACAGCATCTGGGGCAGAGGACCCTCGCAGGGACCGTCACGTTAACAACACATGAGCCTGTCTGCCCCAAGGACATTCAACTTTTAGAAAAGCAAAGAGCGCTCAGTGCGTTGGTGTGGCTGTGCACGTGTTTTCTGTGACTCTTCCTGCTTTCCACTCAAGCACTATATGTCTCGTATAGTGCAAATCTTTTTCTCTATACTAACCAAAAGGATGAACGTTGTGCAGCGGCTTTTAGAATAAATATGAAAGAGGGGTTTGACGGTACTTTGGGAGAACAGTTGTTAAAATGACCTTTATAGTGTGTCTGCTATGTATGTAGTACTATACAGAATATTTTTGACTTTTTCAAGTTAATAGTTTTTTTTTTTCTAGCAATACATACAGTATATATCTTTTTTTTTTTTTTATGTGTGTGTTACACCGGCACTGCAGTTCTTACGGTTAAATTGAAGTGTTACACTCTTAGCATGCAGGTTGCTGGACCTCTATGGGAGAGGTCATGTAGTATTTACACAGGGGCTCTTGTGGGTTTCCTAGTGCAGCTTCGTAACACTCCATTCCCTTCCTGAAAATCATTTCAGGATAATCTGCAGGACAGAGACAGAGAGAGTAAAGGAGAAGGAGCAAAAAGAGAAGAGACACATTTAGTGGACCTGTAATACAGAAACGACCAATACAAAATATACAATACATACATAGCATATACTTTTAATGTGTTTGCCGTGATCTGGGTCAAACAATATTTGCTTTTCTTTCTGCCTAGTCTAGGTCAGATTTTGATTCATTCTCCAGCAAGCTGCTAGCAACTATTTCACAACTGGCTACTTGGAGTTGTCTATCCCAAACTCAGAGAACGTTTTGTGGTCAAGTCAATGTCAGATCATGTTCCCAAAAAAGAGAGAAACCACTTCCTCTAAAGGCTTGTGGAGAGAAAGACATCTGGAAGGCAGTGAGATGCAGTCAGGACCATTTTTCTATTTAACTTCGAGTATGGCCATTCCCGACTCACATACAAATGTTTGCCTTTAGACATTCGACAACATGTTGTTTGTTGAGACATATTATCATTTTCTGTGTTAATGGTCTGATGTTTCATACAAATGGGAGCCAAAGCTTCTCCGGATTTGCAAATAGTATTTGACCTAGGTCCAGCCACGTCTGTGTGTATTCTCTCTTTGGGAGATAAACACTGACCCAACACACAACGAAGAGAAAGAGAGAAGAAGAGGGACAGATTGTCTATGGGGGGAGGACAGGTAGCTGCCATTATGTGGTTGCCCCTAGCAGCCAGAACAAAGCCCTGCAGCATGGTGAGTGTTAATATACAATAGAGAGTCAGCAAAGGACAGAAGCCACTGGTCGCATCACACATCACAGAAGGACGCTGCAGGTGGAGAGTGTGTGGTGTGCAGTGTGAAAATATGTTACACTCCACCCGTCAGGCACCACAGGTCCTATACTGCAGATTTACTAACAGCATGTTTCAGCCTAGGAGAAGATGGAGGATTAAATGTTCTAAAATATATTTCTCTCCATAGTGAGGTAAGGGGTTGAACCCTTGTCCTCTAGCTGCTCAACATACAGTCTCTAATTATGTTTCATACAAATAAACATATCTTTCTATCTAGGTGGATCACACACAGCCTGCAAAGCATGTAATGTAATGCCATATTCTGACACTAGAGGGCGCTGCAACGTTACCAGTAAGAGACACCTGTTCCTAGCACATGGTTAATATGAGCTGGAACATGATGATGTGATTGGTTCTTGCTTGTAATGTCACAGCTCAGACTGTGGAGAGTTGACCAGACTCTGAACCTCTTAATGTGTCTGCAACATCCTGTGTCTTTTTTTAACCTACGTCTGAGAGGTGACCAAAACACAGGCCTATAGCTCCAGATACAGAAGTATTAATATCACTATGCCAATTTTATTCCCCTCACTAAATCCAAATGAACTCGAAAAAGCCACAAAACAATTAAGGCGATGCCAAAGGCTAATGCTTCGTTAGCACAATCTCAGGGTTTGCACCTCATAGATTCTGACAGAGAGGTTTGTTCTTCAGGAAACAATGACGTCATGTATTTACAAAAAACAAATTCTGGGTGTTTATTCTGAAGGACCATAAGATGTAGTAAACAAGGCGTGCCCTCCGCCCAGTACAGCTCGTGATGAGACGTGTCAACTGTGTCCTAGCTGGAGAGATCTTGGTGGATGGATGGGGGGAGCAGACGGAGACAGACAGCGAGGCTGACAGCGAGGCTGACGTCAGTGTTTCTCCTGGTCCCACATGCATCTTTAAAGAGCAGCTCTGCTTCCTGCTGCTACTGCTGCTGCATGCCAATTACAGGAAGGGATGGTGTCTCGCAGGAAGTGCACACACTGCTGGCCTGTGAGGGGCAATAAAGCGCAAGGTACCGGGCCGGATGATCCGTTTACGATGGAACAACGATTAACTTTATTGTTTTTAATTTGAAAATGAACCCGTCATTTTTTATTTTTTTTACACCATCCTTCCACTCTCATCTTTTTTATTATTCCAAATGGGATATAAGAATTATTTTTTTCTTTTTAAAAGGTTTAAAATTGTAATTTAAGTTTTTCTATATTTTCTCTGTCCATTTAGGGCACAAATAAAGAACATATTTGTGTTAACTAATGATGATGTTGAGTGTCTTGGCCCTTATCTATTCTATTGATAGTGACGTGGTTGTTTTCCAGTAACGGCACATGTGTACCTGTGGAACACTTCTAATCTGTTCATCTGCGTGTCCTCAAGGCACCTCTACATAGCGTACTACCAGTAAATGATTACCAGCTGCGTGAGGCCGGGGCGCCAGCATTGTGCAGACATTTCCACGCACTGTGGCATTCAAACCTGGCCCTGCTTCCGTGGCTCCTGCTGACCCGTAGCAACAGGAGAGCCGATCAGAGGCCATTTTTAGACAGCCTCTGTGATCATTTTCCCTGTGTCTGTCTCACTCTGACACTATCGTTCCCTCACATGATTTATTCGCCCTTTTTATCCCGCGTCCAGAAAAAGGTAAAAAGGTGAAGTGGGTGGAAAAATCCAACATGGCCTGTATGTGTTTGCTTAAGCGTGTGTGTTTGCTCAGCACACAAGCAGTACAGATGATGCCCTCTATTGCAGATGAAGAGGCTTATTTGACAACAACGAGAAAAGTGGAAACTTAAAACAGAACATGCAAAACAAAACCAGGAAGTAGTGCAACACAACTACTACTCTGCAAATGTGGGAGCTCTGAAGAAGTGCTTGCTGTGATGTTTTATAAGAAATATGAGCAACAGAAGCTCTGGAAAATACAGGCTCTCATGCCCAGTGCGGGCGGATGTTTGGTTGAGGGGGGGGGGGGGGGGGGCTCAGCTGCAGGTTATTGCAGCCCACTATTAGAGGCTAGTACTTATTCAGAGCTCCAGGGACTGATGAAAGAAAGCTTTAAAAGGAGCAAACCTGATTGGCTGGTGCTGTTGCTGCGTAGGGGACACTTGTGGCAGGAGTTGTTGCTGCAGAGACAGTAGCAGGCGAAGCACTGTACATCATTGGGACTATGTTTTCAAGGTGGGAAAGGAGGAGGAGGAGGAGGTGGAGGAGGAGGTGGTAGCAATGGAAAGGTAGCATTATGGTAACCAGGGCAACAGTTGTGATGTGTTTGTTGTCGTAGATGTTGTTGATGGTGGGCAGGATGTTACAGAGAGCCAGCAAGCCATCGTTAAGTTTACACCGGCAGATGGCATGCACCCATTCACAATGCAAAGCAAGGAGGACAGAAAGAAAGGGAGAGAGAGAGAGAGAGAAAGAAAGAGCATGGGAGAACAAAACAAAAACAAGAGGAGAGAAGCTGATTACAATCACAAGTAAGGAAATGTATACGGAGAATCAGTTTGCTGCTTTTCCCAGAGAAGTTGAGCGCGCAAGACACCAATTACAATGAATCAATGGCGTTTTCTGGCAGCGGGGATGGAAATTTTGTTTTTCTAATTCATGTGGGCTGACAAGCAAGAAGATGCCAGGCAGCTACTTCATGCCAACAACATGCTCCTCTGACGGAGATTATGCTTACAAGCATTATTCCTTGTCATCCATTTCCCATTATTTCGGACTTCTTGTAATCCCCTTTTAGCGGAGAAAAATACTCCGGCTGTGGAATAACTTCTCTGGGAAACTGATTTCAATTTCCTGATCAACACAGCACAGCAAACAGACAGTAGCTATCCTACAGCTTAGAGAACAGTATTCTATCATCTATTCATCATGTACGAACATTAGCGAGTAGGTCAGTAGGGGAAGAAAGTCTCAACTCTTTCAAGTGATACAAAAAAATGTGTTTTCCATATATTATCCCAGGACAAGCAAATAGACATTTCCTGGTTTACCACCACTGCCACAGGTGGAAATGCGGTCTCACCTGCAAGGGTTGCAGATATTGCCCCCGACCCCCCACCCACATACATCATACAGTGTGTGTGTGAGAGAGCAAAGGGAAGGGCAAGACCTACCAAGACTGCTAGTAGGAGTCATGCACAAGACTGACCCTGTTGTGTTCATGCAGAGAAAGACAGAGAGGGAGAGGGGGGAGACAGAGAGGGAGAGAGAGAGAGAGAGAGGAGGAAATAAATGGGTTAATTGAGAGGGAGGAGATCAACAAAGTTAGACAAGACCAAAATAAAAAGATCTACAGTGGATGCTACAGTGGAGCCGTGAATGCAGGAGCAAGCAGAGGAGTTCCCTTATTCAGTTATAGCATAAGTGAGGAAATGCTGTTAAACAAACATAACGCAAACTAAAGTATACTGTAGGTTCTGAAATAATGTATAATATGTTGGCAAAGCTGGATCAATGATTATTGGCTTACAGATGTGGAGTAAATTATAAATAATCAGACATTTAATTTATTTCTTTGCAGGATTTTTCCGTATCCGAGTGTTATTTGTTGTCTGTTAATAAAGTTGATACACATTGTTCTACTGATCCACAAGCATATGTTTTTACACATTATTTAAAAGGGAATATTATTTTTTATATTCTTACTTTCTCATAAAGTTCAGTGGCCACAAAACCGATGCAAATAACATAATTGTGGTGTAGGAAAATATCAAGGTGCAGTGTCTTCTGCATCACAACAGTATTACAGTAAACCTTATATATCTGCTTCCTATTGTTGTTTTTTCAATCTCCACCAATCTGAAACCTAGCCGATCTGTAATAACATTATGTGCAAACACGACTTTAACCCAGGGCTACTTCCCACACACTGATACTGAGGGGGAGGGGAGGAAGGGAGAGAGGAGGGGCTGTCAGGCATCTCAAACAACAGGCAAACCAAACGAGCAGGTAAAATGTGGAGTGAGGGATGGGAGTCCTCATGACTCAGTGTGGCTACAGGCCTGTAAATCATTTTAGCAAGTGACTAGAAGAGGTTTGCTCTTTTAAAATTGTCCCTTTTTTCCGATATTGATGCACCGAGAAGATTGCACCTCAAAACATAAATCACTTTTCTTCTTAAAAGCCTCCTTATCAATAGAAACAACTGGGCTTGTTTTTCTCCTCTGGTATGCTTTTGGTGCTACGGTTGAGAAAGGTGTATCGAATTCAAGTTTTAATATATCATCTTTTTTATGGCTCTGATCAAAGCCTGCACTGCCCTTCAACCTGGCAGACACTACGTGTTATAATGGCAGGAATTAGATCAAAGTTTAGGGCTGGCACAGTGAATATTTGGAACATTAACACACACTTTCATAGCAGGAATCTTTATGTACGGCACTCAAACTTATCAAAAGAAAATCTAGGACTAAACTCACGAAACCGATCATGAGTGGTGATCTTAGCACAATAAGATACATTTGTGATGAGGTTAGATTCAGTGGGTGTTTCTGTGCGTTCGCATGCTCTAGATGAGTGCCTCTGTGTTTCGAGGCGCTCTTACCTGTGGGAAAGAAAGCGGGCTGCTGGAGCTGTGCGTTGGCCAGAGCCTGCTGGTAGTGCAAAACACTGGGGTTGAACAGCGAGCCGTTACACTTCTCCATCGCTTGTCTCTTTGGTAGGGGCTGGAGGATGCCGTGGGGGAACGCCTGGACACCGAAAACACACACACACACACACACACAAAGAAGAGAAACACAGTAGATTTGATCTGCATACTTACACAAGTGTGATATTTGCAAATGTGTTATTTGTCTAAGCACAGCACAACAAGGCACAAATGGAAACTTGCTGTAACTATCACAAGGACAATGAGAAACTACACCATAGCAAGGCAATCAACAACACATTACAGAAATTAATTTAACATTACATTAATACATGTACAGTACAATCTAGAATTGCTACTTGTGATCAAAAATATTTAGAATTTTACAGGGTTTCACAAAAAACAAAAGAGCCAACTTAAATTGTGTGAGTGGCTACAGTACAATTAAAGAAGCTACATGCAAAGCAAAAGGTGAAAGGTCAAAGTACCAGGTCTACAGTTGCCTCGAGGGGTCGCTTCATTGCTTTGGCAGTCGACTGAGTCTTTAATTAGCAGGCAGCGAGCACATGATGGCAGTGGGCCAATGGGATTCAAGCGTATTAACATACAGGTAACAGCAAGCAGAGGTGCGTCATGGGGGACAGCATTGCATTGTGGATAGGTGAGAAGGAAAAAACAAAAACAAAAATAATCTGAATGCAAGTATACCACATACAAAACAATAGGCATGCACATAAACAAAAAACTGTTTTGTTTACTTCAAAGAAAACTACCTTTTTTGAATTAGTACAAAAAGCGAAAAAAAAGCATCTATATTATCTTTCGGTTAACAAAAAGCAAGTTTCTATGATGTGTTTCAAAACTACTGGGTAAGCATTTAGTTATAGTACGTAAATAAGTTTAATTTCGGTGGAAGAAAATGCAGTAAACACAACTGGTTCAGATAATAGGCTGACACTTCACACAGGTAGGGTGCGACACACACAATAATTACAGTGCTTCTGGAGGTGCTTTGGGCCGTGAGAAATGTCTAAAACACCCGTTTGGATGGGAGCGAGCTCTGGTCAAAGCCCCTCAAATAATAAACTCTGCCCTCACAAGTGGACATATTTGTGTAGGCAGATTTTTAGTCCCAACCAGCCGAACAAAAAGCAGATCAAATACTTATTTATGGTGGTGTCAATTCACGTCTAGTGCTTTAAACCCTAAACTAAATCGTGTGGCTTGTTAGTGTGATCAATGAACTTGGGGAGGTGACACAAAGTGAGTCATAATCACAGAATGTGGAGTTCTGTTTATTCCTCCTAGAAACAGCAAGTATCTTAAGACCTAGAAGCGTTTTACATTAATATGAAGCTAACCCTAACGAGGTAGTAACTGTTAATTTATTAAAAAATCTGTCACTGCTGAGAAAGAAAAAAAAAAATGACATGGATGTGATGAGCACAGCATTAGAGGGGTCCATGCACAAGCCTCTTGCTTATTGTATGCAGATACTCTACTAGTATATGACATTATAAACCCTATTAAAGAGCGACAATGCATTGCTGCAGTGTTAACACACTTAAACACCCTGGTTAGTGCAAATGGAAGATGGCCAATTAAAGTGACATGAAAAGCAGAGATGACCGCATTCCAGTTGCAATGAGGGAGAAGATTACAGCATGGCAAGCAACTCATAATGTGGCACAGTAAAACAACATAATCTCCATAATAGGATCTTCTTACTGTAACTGTATCAGTTAATGTGTAACCTTATCTACAGCACACTTTAGCCTATTTGCTTAAAAAGAATAAAGTGAATTATGGATAATGATATTACCTATTTGCAGCAGTGCAGCAATACAGGTTTTATGGGGCTCTGCTTCAACAAAAGGTGCTTAAGCTTAGGCTAAGGGCTAAAAGAAAATTGGATTAAGGTGCTGACTAAACAACTCATTGTCCTAAGGTTAACCCAGCTCACCTCTGGCAAAGCCTGTAACTGCTGATGGCAAATTGGGTCATAAAGTTAATAAAGTGGGGCATATGAGGAACACAAGAGGAGTAAGAAGAGGCTCAGGATTGTAAAGAATGCACAAGGACGATTTACTGCTTGTTTGACTGAGCATTGTGTACCTGATGGGGAAGTTGTTGAGCTAAAGTTCTCCTTTAAGAAAACAGACGGGTTCAACGTCAGGTTACAGCGCCTCTGGGTCTCAGGCTGTTTTTTTATTTATGTGTATTCCAATTCCTTCTTGTTTCCCTGATTTTCTGCTACAAAATTGACCTGTCGATTCGTCATTGGCACTGCATGGACTTATGGAGGAAGGACAAAGAGAGCAAGCAGCGATGGAGCCAGCCAATGACAAGAGGTATGGCATAAAGCATGCCCATGCCATGGAAGGAGAAAACACACGGGCGCAGTACAAGGTGTATAGCCTGGGGGGGGGGGGGGGCGAGGCTCAGCCGAGACACACACTGCCAAACCCTTCTGTCTGCATCTCAATCTGTCTGTCTCTTCCTCAGCATGTCATGGGATTTTCTCCAACTAAAGGCAGAGGAGGGTAAACCCCGCCCGTGAGGCTACATCCTCATCCATCCCCGATTCAATTTACACTGATCTGCAGAGAGCCGCACTTATCATTGAGAGCAGGGAGGGGAGGTGGGATGGGGGGTGAGCCAGCACATTGTCTCTGTATGAACCAAGGGCATTGGAAAATAAAAGCATACTGCGGTGAGATAATAACAGATTGTTCTTGCGACATTATACGGATGCACATAGGTCTAACTAAACCCTGGTTATTGTAAACGACGGCCTCGGCTATTGTTGGTGAAGAGTACGCCGGAGTCCACTAGAATGAACCAGCAGAGGTGGGTATGTTTTATACAGCAATAAAGCAGCGCTCCACATTTTATGTTACTGTGGGTGTCATCGGCAACAGCATGTGTGTATACACATATGGTGTAAGCCGGGATGATTTGTGATAATGTCACGTGTATTCAGAGTGTGGTTACGTGTGTAAAATTGCCCAAGAGATCACCACACAATGACGTATGATCTCCAATTTAAAAATGGTGCCGATATTAATGTCATTTGTGTGAAAATAATGCATTAATTGTGTTTACTCGCTTATTCAGTGCGATATAAAGCCTCCCTGGATATTACAATGAAAGGCTAAGCTCTTGTTGGAATTTCAAGGTAAACTGTATATACGCGCTATAAAAAAAAGCCTTATTGTCCCATCCTAACCTTACAAGCTCCTTCTCTATAAGTACTGCTCTGTAAATATTTGTCTGGCTACTACAAGGACCAATATGAGTGTAGAGTAGGCAGGCTGTAGTGCTGAGCTCTCACCATGGCTGCAGCCGTGGCGGCGGCTTGCGCGGCCACGGCTGTCTGGTTGGCCTGGTGCTGGGCGGCCTTTATCTTGGCCTGCAGGTGGGCGGGGGGGGTGGAAGTACTTGCACTTCTCGCGGGAGCATCGGCTCTTGATGTAGTCCATGCAGACGGTGACCGTGTTGTCGCTGGTGTCGATCATGGGGCTGTCGCTCGGGTGGGCGAAGCGGCAGTCGGTCTCTCCGCGGGCGCAGTTGCCTCGCTGAAACTCACGGCACACCTGGGAGCGAGAGGTGGACGAAAGAAACACGCAGACGTGGACAGACACACGGATGTAGGGATGCCAAAAAGAGAAGGCAAAGAAATAAGCAGAGAAAGACATACACATGTGAATACTTGAGCTTCCAGAACAGAACATTATTCAACACACTGGCTGCTTCTAATTAAATTGTTTTGGTGTAGTGCATGATCAACCAACTAGTACAGCAGGCAGCCATCAAAATCTCCAAGATAATTGATGTTTTTGGAAGTATTTGACGTTAAAAATGGGAATCCTGACACATATTTCAATACTTAGCAGTCGGGAAAAACACGCTTTCAAACCATGTCCAATATTTTTACAAAAGAAATAGGAGAAAAATCCTGCACGCTGTCTTTCTTAAAACAGTAAGGATTTACTTTATTCTGCTGCATCAGACTTAAAAATCCCATGTTTTTAAGTGCAGGCGATAAAAGGTGTAAAAAAGGTCTGAACAGCGTGAAACTAATGTGCAATGTGTGCCAAACAAAATGATTGTGGAGTCACTGAACCAGTCCGTGCTCAACCGCTCATGGCCGGGCATAATCACATGGGGATCTGCTTTTGACTTGCACTCTGGGACTGAAACGCATGTACACACACATGCTGCTTTTTGAGTGGGAGTGTATACGTGTCTCACAGGGATACTGTTTCATTAGAGCCAACTTCATTCAGTTGCTAAGTGATAGCACTCCCGGAGAAAAACACATACATGCGCACACCTACGCATCACCTCCAGGTCTTAGGGAGATTATTGTTTATCTTCCAAAAATATAGTGGGAAAAAAACTAGTGTTGTTTGCCAAGGGGCAGATGGAGGATGTTGAAGTTGTCGTAATTGAACCATTCTTTACTGCCGCTGTCTAGCAAGTACCAGTTTGCGTTGAGCAATATCCAACCTTAATTACTGTAGGCCTTTTTTTTCGCATTATATTTCTGATACTTAAATTATTTCTGTACTGCAGTTAGAGGGCCTTTTTATGACTTATTCAAAGACAACTCCTAAATGCATGCCTTTAGGTCAATAATTACTCTCTCATGCATCAGAAAACTTGCTTTAGATAATTACACAACAAGTGGTTGCATTCAAAACGTTCTTCAAAGGTTAAAAGATGTGCGTATTTGTTGCTATGCCAACTCCTTTGGTACCCAGATTTGATTTTTTTTGTGGTATTTGCGGCACAGAATGAGTAAAACCTTGAGGAGAAATGTATTTGTGACTATTGTACTTAAACCATAAGACCCTGTCAATACTTCAGAGCTATGAATAATAGTCATTAGTCGCACATATCTCACACCCATAATCACAGGTTTCATCATAATTACACTTCAGGACTCTCCAAGACAACAGTAGGTATGATAAGCTGTCATGCTCTTCTTGTGTGTATGAGATAAATAGATGCTGGGATTGGTTGTGTCACCTCCAGCTTGTCGGTACGCAGCAGTTTCTGGTTGGAGGAAGAGCCGCTCATGGAGATGGGCGGGCTGCCGGGAACCATGCAGGGGCTGCTGGGAAGGATGTCCGTGGGCACCAGGCCCATACTGTGGGACATGGGGGTCAGGTAGGGGGCGTAGCTCAAACCGCTGGACCCAAGGCCCTGGCTCATTGGAAACGTCTGCTTTACAGGGAGAGAAAGACCCCGAATTATTCGAGCTGCTTTAAAATATTCTGTCCTTTTTTTGTTTAATTAAAAAGGTAGTCGGGGACGACAGAAATGGCTGATGTAAAAATGATGAATGTAGGGAGGGGACAATGGGGAATGGAAGGGTAGAGAAGTTGGAGGAAGGAGAGACAAATGAGCGAGAGGTGAGGTGGGGGAGAGGGTGTGACAGGTAGAGACAAAGAGCCAGGGGAACAGAGGGGAATAGGTTTCAGAGAGAAGAGGAAGGTAGAAATGTATCCCAGGGAAGGTTTTGCTGAGTGAGCATGTTCTTTTTCGGCTTCACCCAGCGTTACATTGATGCAGTTAAACACGTTCACACCTGGCAGCTGCCCAGTGCACCCACAGCCTGACTGCAGAGCGACTCCCGGAGAGGAGTCTGGGAGATTTGTGCTTTTGCTCAAGGCCATCTCAATAACTTAAAAACAAATGCGTGAGCTCCCTAGAGATGTTATCTGAGAACAAGGTAATCTGAGAGAAAAGCGATAACATCATGGCATCTAATAAAATAAGATTTTCTTTCAGTGAATCATGCACTGCTGATACTTTCGGAAAATGAAAAGCTTCATAATGACTTATTCAACAGAGCAACACTTTGAGCAGTGCAGCACAACAACAGCTATTTTCCTAGTGAGTCACGCTGCGTGGACAGTGACTAACCATGGGTTGCATGGTGGTGCCGGGGATCATGAACTGCATCTGTTGAGACAACATGGCCGCCGCTGTCTTCTGCTGGATCAGGTTATTTCGCCCGTTGATCTCCAGCTGGGTCTTCAGGTGAGCGGGCGGGTGGAGGTATTTGCAGTTTTCTCGTGTGCAACGGCCCTGGGCGGGGGGAGAGAAAAACAAAGGTTCTTAACAATCTGAACAATTCAAGTCTCTGATCAACAGAATATCTTTTGATTTTGAATGAACAGGTTGTGCGTCTGCCCGAGGATGTGGCGGATTTTTGGGCATTGATTTTGACACGGACTCAGAGCATCAAGTGCTCGAAGGCAGCATACATATTCATACTTGGAAAGTTTGAAAAATGAATTAAGGAATGTTTGTTTTGATCCAGTGACGGCAGCAGGTAGCCCTCGGCAATAAAGTCGAAAAATTACCAGTTTCGGTCTTTCTAGCTTGTTAACTCCGGTTCTTACTCCTGCCTGCACCTTGGGCACACTGACATGGAAATGAGGAGAGGTGGACAAAGGCTGGAGCTCTATTCTCCCCATCGTGACCAAATCTCTGGTTGCACAGGTCACCCAGTGTTCTCCGTGGAAGTGCAAATGCAGGGTTGGCGGGGTCAGGCTTACAGGGACCCTGCTGAATGGAGGTAATTACACCATCAACCCAGAGGCTAATGGCAAACACGATAATCCAATATGGATCCTCAATGCGGTGCTTATTGTGATGAGTGGGCGGAAGAGAGAAAGGAGGTCAGGAGGGAGCCACACAGTGAAGGGTAGTGGTGCAAGAGACTGGAGAGTAAAGGTGAGGAGAGGAGAGGTGGAAGATATGTGGAGTAGTCTGAGCTACTACAGAGGGGAGAGGGGAGAGGGGAGACAACAGGGAAAGGCCAAGAAGACAAAAGGGGAGGAGGTGACATGGCCGCCATGACAGGGTGAATGTGAAGGAGGGCAGAGGGAGGTGAAGCTGAATCAGAATCAGTGTAGCATGAGGAGCTCCATCCCTTAACTCCACAATACCATAATAACAATGTCTACCATTTTCTCTCATAGTAAAAGTCACCAGATAATATCCTGATAGTATGACGATCTTAAACAGGCTATAAATACTCTCCTGTCAAAACAGGAAACACACAGCTTGAATTAATAACATTAATAACGACTGGCTGGCATGGCCTTCTGGGTAACTGGGGAACAGAGCCCTTGTTAATATTATTGAATACACCTGTGCTTTTCTTTTCTATTTTGTCTGCATCTATGAATAAACCTTAAATTTGATGACCCAATATTGATTGTTATGGTAAAAAAACAAACATTATGAAATGTGGTTTTGTGATTGCAAACAGAGTTGAAGCTCTCGAGCAGCAACATGAAAAGAAATGTATAAAATATAATACATTATTCTTTTCATACTATTCTAAGTAAAGCTCTTATCTGGAACACATCCCATGGGTTTTGATGCAAATGAATAAAAGCACGATATGGATTATTTCTGTTAACACAAAGGCTCGAGAGCCCAGAGTGTCACTCACCACGCTTCGGGGATTTGAAGGAGCTCCTCAACCTGTTCGAGTCCATATAGCCACACTGAGAGCTTTGTTTTGGTACATGAGGTGGGCAGGCAAACGGACAAGGACTTTTAATAAAGCTGGGCTCCCATTGTAAATAACCAATAATCCTCAAGTCTCATCAAAGGAAAAAGTAATAAAACCTGGCTATCCTTTTCTTCCTCACAGATATTAAAGCCACCAAACAGTACATCAAAAACACTGTTTGTTACAAATGATTTTATTTTACCTGCCATAAAGGATATTAAGGCTGTAGGCTTCTTTGTAATGCTTCTGTTCACATGGATAAACACACAAAGACATGATATTAAGGTGTTCTGCCTGCGGGGGGTTGAAGCTGCAACGAACCACTGATAACCCCCCAACGGTTCACATGCATAGAATCTCACCTGCCCACACATATGCATATTAAATCACAACAAGCGTCGCCCCCACACACACACTGCGCACAGGCATGTGGATAAACAGTTCTGTGAAGCCCTGTCCAGACCAGAGGAACCTTAGCATGGACCCCCGCAAACTGAAAACCTCAGAGGTGTGAAAACTAATTGGAGCCTTGTGCACCACCACCGAGATAAGTGTGTGTGTGTCTTGTTTATCTACACCCACGAGAAAGAATGCGTAGGCAGGTGTAACAGAGTGTGTGTGTGCAGGAGAAACTGTGTGGGCGGGTGTGATAGTGTGTGTGTGTGTGTGTGTGTGTGTGAGTGAGAGAGAGCTGGTGCTGCTCTGGACGGCATCCCAAACTGAGTCTGCAGGGAAGCACAGCATCCACCGCGCGCCACGCAGAGATCACAGACATACACGGACACAAATAAAAAGATGCCTTGCACGTGCAAACACTCACTTATGTGGACTTAAAATGAAGCCAATACGTTCCCCCTTTTGCTCCATATTCAGTTCATCTATAACCTGTGAGTGACAGGTGCTTTTGGCAATTGCTCATCATTGTTCTCCATTTAAATTGATGAAGTAAACGGAGAAGAGAGTGTTTCATAACGCACAGGCGCTGTCGCACTAAGTGCAAGCCTCAGACTCGTAAAACCTTCTCCTTTCATCCCATCCAACTTAGTTTTAGAGGCTTTTATCACTTACGCATTCATGATCTACTGCAAGCATTGTGCAAGTTCTTTGCATAAATTAGGTTTGATTTGTCTTCGGCCTTTCTTTTTGTCTAGTTTAGATTTGAAAAAGCAAATGTATTAAGCACCTTTGCTAAGACTGTCGTGGTAATGGAAGTATCTAACAGGGCGAGGAATTTTAACATCCATTAATTGCAGTAAATTCATTTACCTCAAAAGGTAGTACACAGTTTGAAGAACCATCGCCAACTCCTACTATATCCACACATCTACAGTGGCAGGAATATTGAGTTCTGTCTTGTTTAGTTCACAATCCTAAAGTATCTAACTGTCAAACATTAAAAGGTAGCATTCATATATATTTATCTATTCATAACACTGACGATTAGAGGATGTTACAGTGGAAATAAGAGTAGATGAGTCAAAGGTTAGTGGGCGTTCAGGCTGGAAATAGCACTGCGTTGAAACAACACACAGGTCTGCATTGGTGGGGGTATGTTATTACCAACCCCCAGGATCACTGCTGCATCTTCAATCCACTTTTCCTAATAGGTTCTATATGAACACGTGAAACGGTGAAATGATCCAGGAAGTCCGGTTTATTAAACTCTGAAATTGGATTACGTCAACAATCATCAGCGTCCTATAACCTCAGTTTAAACATGTTAAAGTGTCACATACAGTGTTATTAACAGTGTCTTTCACCAGGCTCCGCAGAGTCTAATGGTGAGGGGATATGGATTTGCTATTAATATGGTTAAAGGAGATCAAAAATGGCCCATATCCTTTGGAGGTGTAGGCAAAAGAGGAGATTTCAGGAGAATTTGAGCTGCGTTCGTACTGCAGATATGAGGTCAGGTAGTCCAAGGCTGTATTCTGGGATAATCCTATCCTAGAAAAGACCTCCTGGTGTTCACAGCTGTCATACAGTAACAATGCTGATAACAACGCACACCCACACACACATATTATTGTGCCTTCATTAAACAGTAGGGAGGTGTTCATTTATTGGTACTCTGCACAGCAGTTAGAAAGCTTTCACCCACGTCACGTCTTTCTGATTAGCTCCAAGTCAGGGTGAAAATCCAACATCTGCTTTATGGCAGGAGTAACTAATGCTTTGATAAGACATGGAAGAGCCAATATCAAGAACTGGCAGTGCCAAACATTCGTGATGTCCATGAAGGATCCAGGCTGCAGTCTGAGGTGTTTCCCTGCGATGCTTGGCGATTCAAAGCACATAAGATGAGGTAAGCTTTGAGGAAAGGCGGCGCTGCATCACATCAAAAAGGAGACTACTCATGGTTTAAGCAGTGGGGTGGTCTGCCGGCGTGACAATGACGGTGCTAAAAACCTGCGAGCGTGGCTGATGACAATGGCGTGGCCTTGTCTGGCTACAGCCCCTTATCTTTTCGAGAGGGTGGCAGACACACAAACACCTACGGAAAAAGACACACACTGTTCCTTGTGTCTAAGCCACCCACTCAGAGCGGAGCAGAAATCCATTCATCACAGGCATTGCCTCCGAGAAGCAGTCTATGAAAAGGATCTTTGAAAGCACCAAGGCACCTCTGTGATTCACGCACCAGCCGCCGGTGTGTAGCCATAGTTACACTGTGATATTATACCTTTCAGCGGGGTCGCTTGCATGGCAACTCTTATTGTAGGCTGCGCCGTTGCCCTCGTGCTAAAATGCTATGATCCATGCTTTGGGACACACTAATAGCTGCTTTGATTCAGATTGGATAATTATCTCCTTGTGTCGCAGACAGTACAATGAAGGAGAGATCAAAGACAGATTATCGGTTGTTTTCAGTTGAAATAGATCCTCTGTCCGTGATACATTACTGCACGTTCTTTAATCCCCAAATCCATTGCTAAACAAGATAGCACTTATTGTTTGCCAAGTTTCACATGTAGTAATAGTGATATTAATTACAAATGTGCTCCATATTAGAGTTGATCCAGAGGGGGAGAGGATAAAAGGAGCTAATTTCATAAACAGATTAGGATTAAACTCACTTTACCCATTCAATTGTTTTTACTTCTTGTAATTAGGTCGCAATAATTACTCCTGGAAAGCCGCTCTGGCAGAAGATGTCTTTTTTATCTCTGAAACAGGACCACAATTTCCAAAGTCTTTTATTTTGAAATGTAGATTCCTGCTGCTGGTATGTGAATGTTACCCTTTTTCTGCCGCGTTTTGAAGACCAAGACTAAGTACAAAATGATGGTAAGTCTATTCATTTTTACAAGAAATATACAAACAACCATTTGTCATAATCAACTAATAGTTTCAGTAATATATCAAGCATTCCTTAACTGTTTATGCTGGCATGTGTGCCCTAAATCTTTAGCAAAGGGAAGGGAAAAATCCTTTGCCACAGTAAACACACTGGCATGAGAACAAAATAAGCCAATCCTTCCACAGAGTGACAGACTGCTGAGGAGGGTACAACATTTCTCCTGACTAAAAACAACATAACTATCGTGCTGCAACACTC